CCTAGCGGAATGCAAGTAGGCAGCCAGCCCGTCTGTCCCCTCTCCGCCCGCCCCGCCCCACCCCCGTCACTGCGCTTCTGTTATACCATCTTTGCCTGACTCTCTCCGGCTTCTCCATTGAATGGCTAATGTGTATGTGAAATAAAGAAATAAAGAAAAACAAATTCAAGAGTGTCCGAGTCTTCGTTAACGCGCTGAACAGGATCATGGATCAAGCGCAACCAGTTGGGCTCGCTGGGGTGGGTCCTCCTCCCACACGCTGTCCTGGGCTTCCCGCCTCCAGCAGGGGGCGCCGCTGCCAAGGCTTCCAGACCCTTCCCTACCTCTCCAAGCACCCCTAAGGATCCCAGAGTCACTTTGCTTTGTTGAGTCTCTGGCCTTGGCCCTGGGAAGAGGACACTGGCCAGGCCACCTCAAGTAGCCTGTGGGAGATTTTTCTTAAAAGTCTGCGGGGCCCCTGAGTCGCCGGTCACCCTTCCAGAGCTACAGGGCGTTTCCTCCTCTGGGCGACCTCAGTCCCCTTTACAGGGAGTTCACTGCGCAGCAGGTGAGGGGCCACTGCCTTGGGTCACCGCACCTCAGGACTCAGGGCCGTCTGCTCCATCTTGATGGTTCGCACCGACCCGTTGGGGTCGCCGTCGCAGTCCCCAGGAGGAAAGGGCTGCGAGCGCGCAGCCTCCACCCTGTGTCGGGCCCCGCAGCGCGCACCGCCCTCCACTCCCCGGTGCGTCGGCGCCTTGCGGGGCCCGGGAGCGCTGGGGCCAGAGGCCAGCACGGCCGCCTGGTCTCGCAGCAGCCGCACCAGAAAGCCAATGTACTTCATGGCCAGGCGCAGCACCTCGTTCTTGCTCAGCTTCCGGTCGGGCGGGTGGGTGGGCAGCAGCTTCCTGAGCTCCGCGAAGGCGCCGTTAACGTGCTGCTGCCTCCAGCGCTCCCGGCTGTTGGTGAACACGCGGCGAGCCACCTTCTGGGGTTGGTGCCCTGAGGACCCGAGGCATAGCGTCAGCATAGAGGCCAGAGGGCACTCACTGCTGTCCTCGATGAACACCACCAGCTTGGGTTTGAACCCAGACTGTGGGCTGTGTCGACACCAGAGCTGCTGAGCCTGATCATGCCTTGATGACAACGATGTGATCCCTTAAGAAGTCTATCCTGTGGCCTCATTCTGAGCGAGCGTGTTCCTGGGTTTGCAGAGGTTCTCTTGCCTGCCGTGGGCCTGTGGGTGACTGGTGGCCTATCTGATGGCTGTGGTTGTGTGAGATCATGCCATGTGGTTGTGGGTGTTGTGTGTGTGGCTGGGGTTCTGAGGAGGACTGTGGTCTCATCGCTCTGTGTGATTCTAGTCCAGGGTTGCCTCTTTCACCACTACGTTTTCGGCTTGGGGAGCGTCATCTGGTGGCTGCAGTGTCTTATTGTGGCCATGACTAGCTATAACGCTTGGTTTGTTGGGACTCATTATGTAGCCCAGGCTGGCCTCTGAACTGATTCTCTTGCCTCAGTCTGGATGACTGGCAAACCACCACCGAGCTAGGCTCAGTACTGCGGGGTTGCATTGGCTATGACTTGTGTGAACTGTTCCGTGTTGGTGGTGTGTGTGTGCATTCCACAAAACACCTCTCCCTGTGGCAGAGTACAGGCCAGTCAGACCTGGGCTGCAAGCACCCACAAGTACACACACGGATACACACTCACCCTCAGCCAAGTTCAGCTCACCGTGGCTTGGTCTTCGCTTCAGCCGGCTATTAGGGAAGATGCTGAAGGGTCCTGCTGGCCCAATGTAGACGCTGTAAGGGGTTGTGCGCCATGAACGCCTTGTAGGCAAAGACCCTGACCACCAACCCTCAGCCCTGCCCACAGTCCCAGCTCCTCACTGACCTGTTGAGGAAAGGGTGGGGATGGTAATGCAGGGCCAGGGTGGGCGGAGCTGTTCCCAAGGCAGCTAGCTGCAGCAGGGAGGGGCGGAGAGCACTCAGCTCTGTGGTGGGCATGGCTGCCCCTGTGGGCCTGGTATGACCCAGGTTTATCACGGGCACACCTGGAGGCAACCAGGGCGTGCATGTGTTTCGGTGGTCCACCTCTGCAGGAAGGGGCCCAGGTGAGGCCAGATTAGGGAGAGGAGCAGGCGCTGGGCTAGAGGCACACACCAACTCAGCTTTCTCAGCCATGGCGGAACCCACCTCTGCCTGGGCCTGGGGTGGGCACATGGACCCAAGGTTGGAATGCTAACCTGTGGGAGGGAGCACAGTTACTGGGAAGGCCAGAGACCATCTTTCTCCCACGTGTTTGACCTAAGTGAACCCTTCAGTGAGAGAGCACCTTGAGGAGAGGAAGGTGCTCTCTCCTCAGGAGTCAAAGGCCGCTGAGTAGACTGCAAGGACATGCAGGGAGGCTTCCCCCACAAGAGCAGTGTCTCCTAGTGCTAGGCAGCACTGGCCCTCTGCCTGCCTGCCCAGGGTTCTTTGTCAAGGGCTTCTTGCCTCTGAGCCAATTCCCCACCTTTCAGAATCTCTCCTACCTGCAGCTGGGGTACGGCAGGGATCCCCTAACTAACTCTGAGACCCCCTGAAACTCCAAGATTCACCCTATGCCACCTCTCCACGGTTGGTCCAGGAGCCCCTACCCTTGTTGAAAGTTCCTCTCAGTAACCCTAACCCCATCAGCATCCAGATTTTTGCACCCTACATAACATGTTTGCTGGACTCCAGGGTCTCGTGTGTCCTGAAAGGGTGTGACCCCCTATCTCTCTGCCCTGTCCTCCCCAGCTGGAGAAGATCCCCTGGCTCCTCAGTTAAGGGGCCCCACCTGATGAATGAATAAATGAACTAAGGAACGCAGAATGCAGGAGCAGACTCTCCCTCCTAACTTTCAAAGTGTCTTTCTTACCCTGTATCAGTTCTCACAGCCTGGAGTGCTGTATGGTCAGGGCTGTCAATCCAGGTTAGGAGGCGGTTTCCACCGTCCAGTCCGGTCAGTGTGCCCCAGGTGGTCGCGTTGGGCCTCAGAGCTGGGCTGCGCCACCTCCCGGGCTCCGGAGGGCCTGAGCAGTCTCAGAGTGGCGGCGGCGTGGTGGGTAACCCCGAGAGAAAGTGAGCGGCTCCTGGACCGACCCGCCTTTTCCCCCGCCCCCGACAGCCTGGCTTCCTCCCTCTTACCCCCAGGCGCAGAGGCCAGAGGATGCTGGGCCTGTACAGATAAGGGTCTGGCTGCCTGGCCGCGCCTGATAAGGAGCTGGGCCGACCCCGGAGGAAACCAGCAGACAGGGATCGCGGAGTTTGCACCTCCTGGCCCACCCTGGCCAGAGCAGGCAGTCACCCTTCAGGGCTTGCTGCTCCCCTTGGCACTGGGAGACCCTAGCCCTCAGGAGACCCTGGAACCAAACTCACACAAAGAGAAAACAAGGCAAGGCTGCCTCTGGTGTCCTCTGCGGTTATTCTGGCTTTGAACCCCACCCCTTGCCCAGTGTCTGTGCTGATGGGGGTGGAAGGGGCCCCTTTCCGGTCCTCTGACGCCCCATTACCCAAGGGCCCCAGCCTCCAGCCTAGTTCCTCTTTTTTACAGATCCCCTGTGGGCTTCCCCCCACCCCCCACCCCCAGGAACAGGGCTCCAGCAGAGAGTTCTGGCAATTTTGCCTTGCTGTGTCCTGACGGCTTGTGCAGGTGTCCTGAACCCTGTGGCCCCTCCAGGTATTCCCAAGCCCAGGGGAGTTGGATCAAGAGTGTCAGAGCTGTGTTTCCCAGAAGCTGCTCCAAGGCTCCCCAAGACACCAGGCCACTAGGCCACGCCACAACTGGGTGGTGTCCCTTGCTGGCAAGTATTCTGGAGTGACATTCTGAATTCTGGAAACCTGGAGGCTGGAGAGATGGCTCAGTGGTTTAGAGCACTTGTTGCTCTTGCGGAAGACTCAGGTTCCGTTACCAGGATCCACATGTTGCTCACAATCACCCCTAGCTCCAATTCTACGGGATCTGACACCCTCTTCTTAACTCTGAGGGTCCCAGGGAAGCACATGGTGCACATACATTCATACATGCAGGGAAAAAGTCATATACATAAGAATAAATAAACCTTTTACAAATCCTGGAAACCCTGCTGAAAGCTCCCAAGAGGGCCAGGCATGTTGGCTCATGCCTTTAATCCCAGCACTTGGGAGGCAGAGTCAGGCAGATCTCAGAGTTCAAGGCCAACCTGGTCAGTCTGCAGACCGAGTTCCAGGACAGCCAGGGCTATGCACAGAAACCGTTTCTGGGGTTTAAAAAAAAAAAGGCTTCCAAGAGGAGCTGAACTGTAGGTAGTACAATATGCCTGTCCTATGTCCCATGTAATGTATCTGGTTAATTGTAGGCACACTCAGGGAGGTGCTCAGTGGCCATCCAGCCTGATTAAAGTGCTGAAGTCACTACCCCACTGACTTCCTCTAAAGGAACTGTTGTAGTGGGCCTCACTTTATAGCTGGTGGTGAAGGGTGCATGTACCCCCAGAACTCCCTCTTAGCATTACTAACCCTCTACTCTAGGGGAGGGGGAGAGTCTCTTCATTGGATGTCTGGGCAGTCGCCTGCTCTGCCTGTGTTCTCGGCAATTGTACCCCATGGAGGAGCAGGCAGGGCAGGAAGCACCTGGTCTGGGGCGGATGCACAGAGTGCCTGCTTCCGGTTTGGCTTCCGCCACCACACCAACTGGAGAGAGCTGGGCCCAAGAAACCAGGCAATAAGAGACTGCAGGGGGATTTGTGGGGTGCTGGGGAGGTGGGGGGTGGGGTGGGGAGGGGGAAATGCCTGGATAGTCACAGGGGAGGCAGCAGGGTGACAGGCGAGCATGCTTGAGGCTGCCGCCCTGTGGCCACCTGATGAACTACTCTCCTGAACTGCCAGATGCATTTCCATGTCAGACAGACACAAAGCTGCAGTCGGGCAGGAACAACAACCCCTGTCCGCCCCGCCCCCAAACACAGGCAGAGTCCCTCAGGCAGACAACCTCCCCACTCAAAATGACAACCAGCAGAAAAGGGTTTCTCTTTATTGTCTCAGTCCACACCTGGCCCAGCAGTGCCCCCCCCAGCAGCAGCATCTGGTCCGGGGAGGATCTTGGGGGTGGTCTCTGGACAGTCCGTGAGGGGAGGATCCGCAGAGGCCTCAGGTGGTGTAGGGTTGTGTGAATAACAGCACTGCTCCCCTCGCTGACAGATGCCCTGGTAGGAAGATGGAGGGTGTGAAGTCCAGGCTGTGAGCACGGGGCTGGGCTTCTTTCCTTAGTCCCTAGCCCCTGCTGTGCCAGTCAGCCTGGCCCTTGGCTCTGTGGCAGGGAGGGTGGAAAAGAGACTCACCTCCTTGAATCGTTTGCAAGGAAATGTCTTGAGGCGAGCTGCCCTCTGGGCCGGGTCCTCAGCAGGCTCCTTCCGCTTATTCTGCAGCAGCCTCCGCCTCTCCTCCAGATCTTTACTTGCTGCCTTGCCCCTGAGCAGAGACAGGGCTGGTACCCTATGTCGCCTCTGCCCAACCCAGCCCTAGCCAAGCCCCACCTCTGCAACAGTACCACTTACCCTGGCCGGGCACGGGGCCGGGGACCCCAGTTGGCTTCTGGATTGGCCTGGAAGCGCTTGAGTCCTTGCTGGCGGGAGCTGGGGTTGGCATCTTCCCGGATGTTGAAGTTGGCCTTCAGCCTGGACAAAGGGTGGGGGCTGGAGGCAGCAGCCATGCAGGGTGACCACAGACAGACCTAGAAGCTGCCCACCCTGAGGCAGCACCGTAGGTCTACCAGGCTCAGAGTTCTTCCATTTGTTGAGTAACACCCGGATTTCCTAGTGAATTTCTGACAAAGTGGCCTGGATCTGTCTCAATGGAGCTGGATTTGCAGCATCAGAGACAGACAAGCAACAAGACAAATCAGAAGTAACGAGGGCTAGGGGTATGGTCCAGGTAGAGCGCTTGCCCAGCATGCACAAGGCTCTAGGTTCCATCCCCAGCACCACAAAGAAATAAAAAATAATAACATCATACTGTGTCAGGACATGCCACTCAATAACTATTTTGGTAAAAGACCTAAGTCAGGATGCAATGCTTGGCAGGGTGGTCTAGTCCAGAAGGGTTCTCTGAGGTGAAGTGAAGTGAAGGGATGACCCGACTGTGTGCTGGATTCAGGCTGCTATGAGGAAAAGAGCCAGCCAGCCATAGAAGGGTCTGTGCTTTGTCCTGACCCAGACACTCACGGGTCTGTAGGGCTGAAGGAGAGTGGGAAGGGTCCGAGGCAAGGACAGAAGCGGGAGGAGCGGTTCTGGATCTCCCTCCAACAGCGTCGTCGGTCTGGCCTGCTGTGCCTGTGAGGTAGCTTGTCCCTCCCTGCATGTCTGTCCATACCTGGGCTCCACGGCCAGAATTCGGAACGCCGGGCTGGTTTCCGACAGCCGCTCCCGTTTCACAGGACACTCCTTCTCCTGGGGAGAGAGGTCAAGGAGATGCTAGGCCTGAGGTGCACCCAAGTCACCATCCCTTCCTTGCCCTCCTGCCTCGAATCATGGAGTCATCTGCCCTCACCCAGCAACGCATGATGTCCCAGAGAGCTAGCGGGGGAGCGTCTGTCTTCACTGCATTCTTACAAGCATGGGAGAGAGAGACTCGGAAGCCAGCGTGGAGGAGAGCTGACCTGGGTGCACAGAGACCACAAGGGAAGGCTAGACCCCAAAGCAGGTCACGTGGAATGGCATGTCTGTTTCTTTCACAGGAAAGACATGTCACTCAGTGTGACACCAAACCACCTGCTGGGGGCTAGGGAGATGACTCAGTGGTTAAGAGCACTTGCTGCTCTTGCAGAGGACCCTGGGCTTGGAACCCAGTATCTGTATCACAGCGCACAGTCCTCTGTAAGTCCAGTCCTGGGGAATCTGACACCTTCTTCTGGCCTCCTTAGGCACTGCATGCACATGGTGTACATACACATGTGTAGGCAACACATACACACATAAAAATTAAAAAAACAGCACCTGCTGGAGGGCTCAAGGCCTCTCAGCTCTGCCCTGGGCACACACTAGACTCTTGATGGTCCAAGCTGCCCCCAAAGGCCCTCACCGAAGCTGCAGAAGGCGGGGTGTGTTGCAGTGGATGGTGCTGCTCAGTTGGTCCAATGTGTAGTAGAGAGGGACATCGGGAAGTTCCTGAGAGGCAAGGATGGAGTAGCATCGAGTGCTGGCAGGGAGATGGGTCCCCTCCCTGTCAAGAGTTCCCTCCCTATGTATATACCAGTTCATACCTCAGTAACAACACTCAAGACACCTTGGATCCGCTTGGAGGTGTGGAAGCGGCCAGGATTAGTGGTCACTGCCTCAAGAACTCGGCCCACAAAGTCCAGGTCATGGATGGGGTCTGCCCACATGGGGCCTCCAAGCTGCGGACACACAGGGTACAGATGAGCAAGGGGCATGAATACATAGGTACTGGGACCCTGGGCCCACTGCCTCTCTGACCTGGGCCCACCTGGTGTCGCTGTCCACAGTGTTCACACTCAGGGGTCACTGGAGGACCACAGGCAGCAGAGAACTTGACCCTGCAAGGAGAGGCAGTTTGAGGAGAGGCTGCTGGAGGAGTGGGAACCTAGGCCGTCCTTCCAATCCAAAATACCCTTGTTCACCTGCCAGCAGGGTCTCGCGACGCTTTGCCAAGGCGTTGCAGGTAGAAGGCTCCACAACCCACACACTGGTACACCAGGGCCTGCTTGCTGTAGAAGCCCAGGAGAGGCCGTGAGTCCCTGATGTGCTCACAACACCTCAACTCTTCTCTCAGACCAACTCAGTCCCTTTTCAGACACCAAGGTCCCTTGGGCAAGACTTAGCTCCCCCATCAATTCATCAGGTTCCTGCCGCTGGGCTTACCTGGCTGAGGACTTAACCTTGGCCTGGCCTGTGAAAACGCGCACAAAAACCCGGACATAGAAGTCGGCACTGATGCTGAGCAGTGGCACCACGAAGCGCTGGTAGCAGTTGGCGTGCAGGTCCAGGCTATGCAGCACAATTCTCAGGGCCTGGCAGCAGGGTGAGCATTAGTGCTGGAAGAACAAGCTTGGGAATGCAACTTGGGTTTAGAGCCCACATTTCCTGGCTGTGTGACACTGGCAAACAGTGTTTTCTGTTCCTCAGTTTACCCATGCCATTCCGTTTCTGTGGCTGGTAGCAGGCACATGAATGCAGCCTGCACAGGTGACCCCACCCTGAGCTGAGAGCGTGCCTTCACTATAGACAACGGGAGTGCTATCAGGAGTACTTCGAGCCTGACATGAAAAGATGGTGGCACTGTCCAGGCTACAACAGACAGCAAGGGATCTTATGCAACAGGACAGGATGCCACCTTTGTCTCCCCCACCACTTTACCTTCCCATCACAACCACACAGGGTAGGCGCCATGACCACACCTGTTCTGTAGATGCAACACTAAGGCCCAGAAAGGCGAGGTCAGCAGAGTCAGCAACTAAGCCAAGATAGAACTCAGACCTTGGAAAAATCACTCCAAGATTTCTTCTTTGTCCCAGCATTTGGGAGGTGGAGGTGGGAGGATGTGGAGTTTGAGGTTATCTTCAGGTACAAAGCAAGTTCAAGGCCAGCTTAGGCTACACGAGAGCCTATCTCAAACCCTCCACACAACTTCTGTGGTGGGGATATGGCTCAGTGGTAGAGCACCGTGCATGCACAAGGTCCATTCCCAGGCACAACATGAAAACCTAGTTTCATTCTGAGAGCTGTGCCTGTAATCCAGCACCTGAGAGGTAGTTGCAGGAGACCTCTGCTTGGGGTACTCAGTACCCTCAATTTGGGATGGCAAGATGGCTTAGTAGGTAAAGGCACCTGCCACCAAGACTGATATAGGACCCAAATGGTGAAAGGCAAGAATGGACTCTAGGAAGCTGTCCTGACTTCCATATGTTCACCATGGGCACATATGACCCATAACACACAAAAAGTGTGCACACAGAAAATACACACCAGACTGGTCTCATAAGAGATCCATCTGGTGGCCGGGCGGTGGTGGCGCACGCCTTTAATCCCAGCACTCGGGAGGCAGAGCCAGGCGGATCTCTGTGAGTTCGAGGCCAGCCTGGACTACCAAGTGAGTTCCAGGAAAGGCGCAAAGCTACACAGAGAAACCCTGTCTCGAAAAACCAAAAAAAAAAAAAAAAACAACAACAAAGAGATCCATCTGCCTCTGCCTCCCAAGTGCTGGAATACACCAACACACCTAACAAAAATATTTATTTTTAAGGTTATACTGTCAAATGCTAGGGGAAAAAAAAAAGATTGCCTAACCACGCCTGCCCATTGACAAAGGATGTCAAGGATCTGCTTGCCAGTCACGTCACAGCTTGGGATGGACCAGTCCTGGCCATCCGAGGTGTGCTGGGAGGACCAGGGTGGAGTGCTCACAGCCGGTCCCCGCCCCCAGGACAGCTCGGGAACTCTCACCATCTCATGGCAGGCCCGGCTCTTGAGGGCCATGGCTCCATACTTGCTGTAGCACGTCTCCCCGCTGTTCCCTGCCAATACTGCCATGTCCGTGCAGGTGACACACAGCAGTCCTGTGGGGAAGGGCGACAGTGATGACCCTCGAAGCGCTGGCCCTGCACCTGCTTGGGCGTTCGGGATGCTCCGGCCCAGCCTCACCTCCGTCACTCACAGCCTGCACTGCTGCGTCCAGGAAGGGGGCAGGGCTGCCATAAGGGTCCAGGTCAATGACATCAAAACGCTCAGATGCCTTTTGGTGTTGGTACATCAGCATCCTAGATGTAAGGAGTCCAAGTTCTCAGCCTCTTACACCAAGTCCCTGCCCTGTCCCCTATGGCACGGTGATTCTGGCCTTGGATCTGAGGCCAGCTTAGCCATTTACGGCTTTCTTTATATCTTTTAGCCATAGGGATGGAACCCAGAGTCTCGTGCATGCTGGGCAAGTGTTCTAATGCTGAGCTAAACTCCAGCCTATCATTTTTTTTGTTTGGTTGGTTTTGTTTTATTTGAGACAGGGTCTCACTACGTAGCTCTAGCTGTCCTAGAACTCACTCTGTAGACCAGGCTGGCCTCAAACAGATCCACCTGCCTCTGCCTCCTGAGTGCTGGGATTAAAGGCGTGCATCACTACACCTGGCTTCCTTTGATATTTGTTAGCCAAAAGATTTTTCTGTTTTACACAGGTCTCAGTCCCCCACCTATAACCCTGACAAATAAAAGCCAATAGGAAGGACAGTTCCTTGACTCCTGTAGCCATAAAGAAACCACACTGCAGGGGCTGGTGATGTGGCTCAGTGACTAAGAGAGAAAGCTGCTTGTACACAAGACCCAAGTTTGTTCTCAGCACCCATGGACACCCTGCTCACAGGTCTCTCTCTCTCTCTCTCTCTCTCTCTCTCTCTCTCTCTCTCACACACACACACACACACACACACACACAATAATAGATAAACAAGCAAACAAATAAATAAATGGGGAGCAAGAAACTGGGGTCTGTGCCAGGCCTGGTAGTGCAGACCTAGCTAACTGTGAGGCTGAGGCAGGAAGACTGCAAGCTCAGGCCGGCCCAGAAAACTGAGATCATGCCTAATGCAAACCGACAGCACCAAGAACTCCACTGAGTGGAGCCGGATTCAGCGACACCTACACCTGGACACTCCAGGGAGCTGGACAAACCCCGAGCGAAGGCCAGATCAACCAACAGCATTAGCGTCGCTTACCTGGTGACATTAAAAAGAAGATTCACAGCTGTATTTTTTAAATATATATATTTTTTGTATTTTATGTTCATTGGTGTTTTGTCTTCATATATGTCTATGTAAGGGTGTTGTAAGTCCTGGAACTGGCGTTACAGACAGGTGTGAGCTGCTGTGTAGGTACTGGAAATTGAACCCAGGTCCTCTGGAAGAGCAGCCAATGCTCTTAACTGCTGACCACCCCTCCAGCACCACCACCAGCGTATTTTGAAAAGTCCCTTGATTTATAACTTTTTTTGTTCTGTTACTATAAAAACTCAAGCCGGGCGGTGGCGGCGCACGCCTTTAATCCCAGCACTCGGGAGGCAGAGCCAGGCGGATCTCTGTGAGTTCGAGGTCAGCCTGGGCTACCAAGTGAGTCCAGGAAAGGCACAAAGCTACACAGAGAAACCCTGTCTCGAAAAACAAAAAAAAAGAAAGAAAAAGAAAGAAAGAAAAAAGAAAGAAAGAAAGAAGATTCATTTGTTTAATATGTACAGGCATTTTATCTGCAGGAATGCCTGCTTGTGCAACATGTGTGTGTTTGGTGCCCTGAGAGGGAACCAGAGTGCAGGTCCTCTGGATGAGCAGGCAGTGTTTTTAACTGCTGAGTTCTCTCTCCAGTCCTACCCGTTGACATAGCAATCTTCTCTTGTGTGAGTACACTCTACAATGTTCTCATGACAGAAATCATTACCAGCCCAGAAGGGCAGTGCACACCTGTACTGTTAAGACAGTCTACAGCTATCAGTTCCCATCTGAACCCAAGGCTAACACACACTATGCAAGCATCCCACAGGGCTGTAAGCCATGCAGCCGAGGTAAGGGATTGTCATGGGTTTTAGACTTCCTCTGCTATATAGTAAGGCCCTGCCTAAAAAAAAATAAAATAAAATAAAAAATAAAGGAGGTGGGGGGAGTAGCAGAGACAGGGATGGGAAGCTAGTTCAGAAGAGCACTTCCTGCTCTTCCAGAGAATCCAAGTTTGGTCCACAGCATATAAGTTGGGTGGCTCATAACTGCCTTTAACTTGTTCCAAGGGATCTAACACCCTCTTCTAGCTTCTGTGGGTATCTGCACAAAGGTACACACATTCACACAGATACACATATCCATAAATAAAAAATTTAAAAAATAAACTGAGGGGGTGTAGAGAGAAGACTCAGCAGGTAAAGGCTCTTGCCACCAAAACTGACAACCTGAATCCCTGGGGCACGCATGGTAGAAAAGAACCAACTCTCTTACATTATCCTCTGACCTCTACAGATGAGCTGTGGCAAATATACCCTTTATAAATAAATAAGTGCAAAAAACTGATATTTAAAACAAGACACCCAAATCTCAAATTATATCACTGTTCAAACAAATAGCATTATAGTCACAAGTTTTTAAAAAGCCAGGTGTATATCTTTAATCTCAGCCCTTGAGAGGTAGAGGCAGGCAAATCTCTGTCAGTTCTAGGCTATCCTGGTCTACACAGTGACTTTCACGCTAGTCAGGGCTTTAGAGTAACAACCTATTCAAAATCAAAACAAAACTAATACAGCTGGAGAGATGGCTTAGCGATTAAGGACATTTGTTGTTCATGCATAGGACCCATATTCAGTTCCCAGCACCCATGAGGTGGCTCACAATGACCCATGACTCCAGTTCCAGGAGATGCAATGCCCTCTCTTCTGACCTCCTCGGACATTCATCTGCTGTACATGTATACATACAAGCAAAACAATCACACACATAAAATATTTAAAACTGAAAAGCAAGATGAAGTAAGTACAGCACTTGGCAAAGGAGGTGTGGCAACAGAGTGGGAACAGGTCCCAGAAAGACAGCCCGAGGCAAGAGAGGTTGGCAGTGTTACTACAAGGTGTTAGAAAAGAAAGTGATTTCTGGAGCCTGCTGGTATACATTTATAATCTTAGTTACTTGGAAGACTGAAGAAAAGCATGAGTTCAAATTGGTCAGACCATGTGTCAAAATTAAGTCCCTATAGAGAGACAGTTCTCATCACTAAACACCCTTGTATAGAGTCTGGGCAATACACTTCTACTATTTGAGAATCCTGCTATGGGCCTGTGTGGTAACTCACACCTTTAATCCCAGCACTGGGAAGGCAGAAGCAACTGGATCTCTATGACTTTCAGGCCATCAAGGGCTACAAAGTGAGACCGTTCCAAAAATAAGTAAACAAACAAACAAACAAACAAACAAGACTCCTGCAATCAAGCCTGTAATCCTAGCACAAAGGTGGGAGCAGAAGACAGAAGTTCAAGGACACAACCACAGTTCACGAGACCAATCTCACCAAAGGGGCTTTTCGTGCTGGGGATGTAGTTCCGTTGGCAGAGTGCTTACCTGGCTCTAGGCTCCATCTGATCCCCATCACTGAATAAACCAGGTGTGGTAACTTGCGCCTGTAATCCTAGCACTCAGGTAAAGACTCAAGTATCAGAAATTCATAGTCAGAGCCAGGTGTGATAGTAATCCCAGCACTTGGGAGGCAGATCTCAGAGTTTCAGGCCAGCCAGGGCTACATAAGGTCAGAGCCACCTAGTTTTATCCCCAGACCCATAAGTAGAAAGATAGAAATGATCCCTGTAAATTATACATACACATAGGTACACGTGTATATATGTACACAGGTATACACATACACACACACACACACAAACACTAAATGAATGAATGAATGAATGAATGAATGTAATTTAAAGTTTTAAAAAGGGCCAGAGAGTTTGCTCACTGGTTAAGAGTGCTTGTTGATCTTGCAGAGGGTCTGAGTTCATTTCCCAGAACCCATATGGCTCAAACTAACTGTAATTCTCTTTCCAGGGTATCTGACACCTTCTTCTGACCTTGGAGGGCCCCAGGCACACATTTGTAAGCTAAACATTCATACATATAAAATAAAGTACATCTTTTTTTGAATTATAAAAAAATCCAAGGTCATCTTCAGTTACAAAGCTAGTTCTGGGCTATATATTTCAGCACCATGACAGGCTCTGAAGAGACTACCCAGATGGCTGGGTGGGTACCAGCACTTCCAACACAAGCCTGAGGACCTACTGGTGCTTTCTCAAACACAAATAAAACAAAAGTTAGAAAAATATAATTGTATAGCTCCCGTGAAATTATTATTCTTTTAGAAACAAGGGAATTAGAGTCCAAGAGGCCAACCCACCCAAGGTCATACTTGGAGGCTAAACAGGACTTGGGGTGTCATCAGGTAGCCTTATTCCAGGTGTAAGCTGCAGGCTCTGGGCAGGCCTGACTAGAACCTACTGGGAGCTATTGCTTAGCATGCATGAAGCCCTGGGTTCCATCTCCAGCACCACCCCACCAATGACAACGGCCAATCAACTTACCGGGCATCCGCCTGGTTGGGCTGTACAAGATGTGCTACCCCATTGAGGTGCACGTTTCGGTCTATAAGCTCTACAGCCCGGGCAGAGGCATCATTGGCAACCACAGACTGGAGGCCAGGAACCTCTAGGGCGAATCGGATGGAGCGCAGACCAGATGCTGCCAGGCCTTCCAGCACCCGTAGACCTTCCTGTCAGAAGTAAGCAAAGATGCTGTCTGTCTTCTTTTTTTTTTTTTTTTTTCGAGACAGGGTTTCTCTGTGTAGCTTTGCGCCTTTCCTGGGACTCGCTTGGTAGCCCAGGCTGGCCTCGAACTCACAGAGATCCACCTGGCTCTGCCTCCCAAGTGCTGGGATTAAAGGCGTGCGCCACCACCACGCCCGGCTGTCTGTCTTCTTTTTTAATATCACTTACTATTGAGTCAGTTTTCTCTTTCCACCACGGATTCTGGGGACCAAACTCGGGTCTTAAGGCTTTCTTGGTATGCGCTTTACCAGGGAGCCATCTTGCTGGCTGACGCTCAGGCCTCCATCTTCCTTCTGGGCCCTCGTGACCTCCCACAACCACCCTCTGTAGTTCCTGGGCTCCTTCCTGTCACCCAGACCCCCAAGCCGCCACCCCGCTCACTCAGGCCCTACCTCACAGATCTCACCAACTGCAGCTGTCCGAGGCTGGTCTCCTGGGGTCAGGTTTTCACCCTCTTTCTGTTCAGGCCTTTTCCTCTTCTTGCTCAGACAAGTTCACACACACTTTCTGCAAGTTCTTCTCTCCTGGTACCTTGACTGCAGACACCCAGGCAAACAACCAGAGGCTATCAATGATTCTTTTAAGAAATTCCACCATAATTTTCAAATCGTCAAACCTCCTGATGATACATGCCAGAAAAGTCTTTCCCCAAATCCCAGGAGAACGGCAGAAGGAGCAGAGAGTCTAGAGGTCTTCAGGAGCCCAAAGAGAGCCATGGATAAAGTGGGAAATGCCGGGTGGTGGTGGCAGCAGCGCACCCCCTTTAATCCCAGCACTCAGGAGGCAGAGCCAGGCGGATCTCTGTGAGTTCGAGGCCAGCCTGGTCTACAGAGTGAGTGCCAGGACAGGCACCAAAACTACAGAGAGAAACCCTGTCTTGAAAAACCAAAATAAAATAAAGTAGGAAATGAACTTTATGTGACCCTCTCCCCCCTCGGCCTGAGCCTCCACTTACTCTGGATTCCCTTGGCCCCAAGATGAGTTCGAGCAAACTCAGTGATCACGGCACATCTGGAGGAGGGGACGGCAAGAGACGGTCAGCTTGCAGACTCTTGTATGCCAGCTCCTTAGCTGGGAGCCAGGTCTGAAGTCCTCCCTTCGACATTCTTGAAAGGTTATTGTCCCTCCCTAATCCATAAAATTCATCCCCTCTGTTGCACCAAATTCTAAATAAAGAGAAACCCCACCTCAAGGGCTAAGATGTTAACTGTTGCGTCTTTAGATCTTTAGACCCAGAAAACCTGATAGTGACGTTTGCAAGGTCGGCCCTCAGTCCTCAATTCAAAGCATGTAAATTGATGTGAAATTCGACTTGCAGAAAAGTAACAAGTCTGTGTAAATACAACTACAGGAACCAGCTCTGGGAAGTCCAAGTCCACCACCAAGTTGAAAGAAAAGGGAAAGGGGGAGACACGCCTTGAATGCCCAAGAACACTAAAAGGTATGTATAACCTTGTCCCTTACAATAAAAACCCCTGGTGCGCGCCTTCATCTTTCAAGATGCGGGCCTTCGGCCTTCGATTAAAGCTGACTCCTCCCTACCAACTCATCTCTCCCGAATAGTGCTTCGAGTAGTGCGCGTCCCGAACTGATATTCCCAGAATATCTTCTACCTCCCTGACCCTTGCTCACGTCAGGTCCCGGTTGAACTCCTGCACTGGGTTGTAGAAAACCTCGTTGGCGTTGGGGAAGACGATCTTGGCGGCGCCCTCGGTGATAGTCGCCTCCGGGGCCGCGGGTGGGCGCTCTTCGCAGGGCTGTGTGCCGTTCTCCATAGCTGGTGGAGAGGGCGGTCCCTGGGCCTTCTGTTCCATGAACTGAGTTCTACAGAGGATGCGGGCCTGACGGAGAGGGCGGCTTAGCCACAGGACCGTCCTCGCGTGGGACATCCACGGGCGCCTCAACCCTCCTGCCGTTTTCGAGGGAAGGGGAAGGGCACAGGGAGGTCAGAGTGCTGCATTCTGGGTCGGGGGTGGCCTACACATCTATAAAGTAGGAACTAAACCCCCCTGGCCTCGATAAGGCCTGCGTTTCCAAAGGCACTGGACTCAGTAGAGCCTGAGGCTAACGGCGCAGATCCACCCCCAGCCAGCCAGCCAGCCAGCCAGCCAGCAACCCCCCCCCCCCCCCACACACACACACATCCACACCCGGGCACGCTTCACCTCTCTGCTCACAGGACACAAGTCGCGGTGCACGCTTCGCGCATTAGGACCTGGAAGCGGCCATGTTGGCAAAGAGGGCGGGCCGATCACATGACAATAGCTGACCAATTAACGACACGACTCACGGTGGGCGACCAGGATCAACATTCTTCCAGGAAGGGAAGTGCGGAGTTCGCTGCATGAGCGGTTTTTTATAGTGCAATTCTTCTACAAAGGAGTTTCATTGCAGTTTAGTTCAGGACAAAAGCCGGAGAAACTTGGCACCTTTAGATGCCCATGTGTGCACTTTACAGGTTAACTCAGGCTGGGGAATAGATCCACTGGCTTTGAATCTCAGTCCCACCACATACTCTTTTGAATAAGTTACTTAAAATGTTAGACTCTCATTTCCTACCTCTAAATAAGAATCTTACCTTCCAAGAAAGAGCAAAGATCAAACAACCGAGTGCCGGGGAAGTGTGCAGAGGAGCCACTTAAGACAGCAAGCCCTCTGAGTTTTGGCCTAATGTATGAAGGCAGAGTGTGGCCATCCGTGATGTGAGCTGTCCAGCTCGCCTCGCAAGTTCTCTCTCTCTCTCTCTCTCTCTCTCTCTCTCTCTCTCTCTCTCTCTCAATGGGGTGTAAAAGGTACTCGTAGTCCAGGTTGTTCTGGAGCTCACTATCTAGCCCAGGGCGGCTTCGAACTCCTCAGATTTTCCTGCTTCAGTCTCCCAGATGCTGAGATTACAGACATTAACTACCAGGCCCGGCAGTACTTGCTTTGTTTTACATTTATCTTATTCTGAATGTGTGTGTATGTATGTAGGTATGTGCTCTTGTGTGCAAATCCCCGAAGAGCAAAGAGGTGGTGGATCTTCTAACACTGTAAACAATTGTGAGCCACCTGACATGGGTGCTGGGAACTGAATTCTATACTGCAAGGGCAGTATACGCTCTTACTCGCCAAGTATTCTCTCCAGTCCGAACTATTTGTACTTGATTCTGCTTCCCCATCTGAAAAGTAGCCAGACCGCTTTAACGTTATGAAACATAATTATCCGAGTTAGTGCAAAATGCTAACAACTTGACATCGCGTAAGCACCTTAAGTCTTAGTTAGCTTCATTGACCTCTTGAGCCTACGCTTAAACATCTTGGCATTCACCGTCACTTCCCTCTGTGTGATCTTGAGCGAGTTCCCTCAGTTCCATGAAACCTCATTCCCATAACGAGCTTAAAACTGGAACAACAATCTGTCCCATAGTCACGCAACTAACTAGACAGTCTACAGAACGGAGACCCTGGAGGAAGAAGCCGGTGAGAACTAAAGGGCTCGGAGCGCAGCTAAGTTTGCCTAAGGGGCGGGGCCGACGCCGTTTCCTCCCTGCCGGCTGCGCCGTGCGCTTCCTCGGCGCTCGGCTGGGGCGGCCTGGCCCACAATGAATGGCCGCCGCGGCTACCACTGCTGTTGAGGCGGAGGCCGCGGAGGCCGCAGAGGCGGAGGCCGAGGCCGAGGCGCAGGGGGGGCGCGCCCCGGGCCCAGGCCCGGCCCCAGCTGCCGCTGCGGAGCCCGCCGGGAGGCCCCGGAGCGCGGCCACAGCGCAGGTGAGATGGCCCGCCCCAGGCCCAATTCCGGCCTCCTCCCGCCGGGGCGGCCCGAGGACATCCGAGGTTCCGGCCGAGGGCCGAGAGGGGGGCCCCGGGGCGCCCGGCTAGGAGCGAGAAGCCGAGTCCGCGATGCTGACAGCGGCGGGAGGGCGAGGTTGAGGTGGCCTGGCCTCAGCTGGCGGCCTACAGCGTCCAGCCCCGGGCCAGGCCCGTGGGGCTTGAGGGCGCCTCGAGGGAGGCGGCGGTTGCCGGCTCCTGGAAGTCGCAGGGCCGGAGGGAGTAATTGTAAGGAGGCGGCGGGCGAGGCCGGAGGGGGAGGGGAGGCCCCAGGCTGGCCGGGGCGGGGGGAGGGGGAGAGAGGCCTCGCCGCCCAAGGGATAGGGCCTGGAGGGGACCCGCAGGGCCGGAGCCTGCAGGTAGGGAGCACGGGGGAGGGGGTGGGCGGGTCAGGTTACAGGCCTTGGGGGACAGCAAGGAAAAGCCCGGGAAGTAGGACTTGGTGGGTGTGGGCGGAGCCTGCTCGAGTGGGGGCGGATTGGAGATCCCAGGGATGTTTGCAGGGGGTCATGCGAGGTCAGGGCTCAGAGACGTGAGGGTAAGGGACATCGCGGGGGTGGGGGGGCACAGGTAAGGCTGGGGACTACGACAGAGTGTTGGGAGTTTGGAGGAGGCGCAGGGCCTATGGACTAGGCTGGTGGGGATGTGGGGGCAGGTGAGGAAAACTAGGGTGACCTAAGGAATCTGCCTCCCCCTACCCCCATTCCTCAAGTGTTTGCCCAGGGTCAGAACCAGGGGGTTTCCTCTTTCCCACGCCTCTTCTCTGAAGCCTCGGCCAACTGCTAAGCAGGGACCGGCCGGCGGGTGGGTGGGAGTTTGCGTGGGCTGCACCGGATACCTAGCTCAAGCATCGTGTTTTCCGTATGGATGGCCCCCGTTCATCCCCCATCCCACCTCACCCACCCTGCATAGAGACAGCCCAGCAGACTTTACCTGAGTGTTTTAGAGTCCTGTATTCGTTCTCAGCCCTCTGGCGCCGGAACCTGGGGTCTCAAGTCTAGGAGACAAGACCTCACAGCCTGGTAGTGCTCCCTAGCTTTCCAGGCCCAACCTGCTGCTTAGGCCTTAATTCTATGTCCCCTCGGAGGTAAAATATTGGGATGGTGAGTGCCTGAAGCTCTGTTCTATCTTTTGAGACCAAGCAGGCACCTACACATCCTGACTCTTGCCTTGGGGGCTCCTGATTCCGGGACCCATCCTCCCTCCTTGGTGCTCCTTCTAGGCCAGGTAGTATGCTAAGCCGATCGACGAGTAAGCTCATTGATAGCTCACCACCGATGGGTCTTAGGCTTTCTCTTCAGAGAAAGAAGCTGAGGTTCGGGGCGGGGCTTGTCCCTGGTCATATGACTACACTGTGGCCTATGCCTAGTAAATCGAGTTGGCCCTCCAGGGCACCAGCAGAGAAACTCCTGCTGGTCTGATTCCCTGTTGATGGACTCTTCTTGGACCTGGCCTTTTCTAGGCTGCCTGGAGTGGCTCAATCAATCCCTTTGCAGATGGATCAAGTTTCCCTGGAGCTCAAGGAAAAGTGTGTGGGGCCTGTCAGCTGAGGCCTGCTCATATTTTCTCTTCCATTCCGCATCTGGGAGCCAGGGGCACAGGCTGTAGGAGGTGGTTATAAAAGTGGGTCTTGGTGGTTTGGGAGTGGGATTTTGTTTTGCTTGCTTGCCTAGGCTTTGTTTCCCCGCTTCGATTTCTTATCAAACTGCTCCAGCTCTGGACTAATTGCAAGGTTAACAGTGTATTCCTGGGCAGGGTGTGTGTGTGTGTGTGTGTGTGTGTGTGTGTGTGTGTGTGTGTGTGTGTGTGTGTGTGTTGGGGGGTTAGGTTTTGTTTTAGTATTTTTTTGTTGGTTTTTGGTTGCTCTTGGGTTGTGGGGGCAGTGACAGTGTTACTCCAGCTCAGGCTGACCTTGAGCTTACTGTGTGGCCTAGGCTAGCCTTGAACTATGGCCCTCTTGTCTCAGTATCCCAATGCTACGATTATATAGGCATGAGCTACCAACACAGGATGTCCTGATGGCTCTGATTGGACATCCTCAGCACCAGAGGCAGGAACCACAAACTTCTGGGTGCCTGGTACCAGCCAGTCCTGGGTTTGATGATGACTTTTCTCCCTTTCTTCTCATCTCCTTGAAGTTTCCAGACCACGACTACCACCAGTTGCCTCTGCCCTGGTCTCTTGGTTCTGTTGGGGCTGAGGACTGGACCAGCCACCTGTGTGAAGAACTTAGTGCTTACTTGCATTGTTCTCCCCACTCTGCTGCTGCAGCTCTCCTTAAAGCCCTGCCGCTGTTATCCCCTCAGTATCCCCTCAGAACCTTTATAATTGCCTTTATTCCTACCACTGGTTGCTACTGCAATCTTGTGCTTTGGCTGTTGAGGGACTATTTCCTGCCTGATTGGACCAAGGGAAGCTGCTAGGGCATATATGGGCTGCTCCCAGGCCTCAGCTGGGTGGATTATTGAGGACAGATGGTGTCAACTAGTCACAGCTGGAATGCAGAACTAACTGGTAGGAGTTAGTTGGCCCTGAAGTATGGAGGCGGAAATGGTTAGCCAGCACCTCCACCTGAAACTAGAACAGAAGGTGCACTGGTCATATCTGCTTTTCAGTGAGAACTCAGGCAAGCCCAACAAGCAGACAGGCTGAAGTGGACAGTTTGAGTTCAGTGTTCTGTGCCCGTTCCCTTGCTGGGAACTGAAGAAGCCGCTCTGAGTAACACATTCATCAGAAGTTGGTTCTGGCAATTCCTGTTCAGATGGTGACCAAACTTAGACAAGGAAATGGTCCCTGGAGGTACAGAGAAACTAGGCTGCTCTGTTAAAGACAATGGTATACCAAGGCGAGGAGATGGTCAGTGGTGTGGGGGCAGAGAGATTTCCATTGGGTAGTCAAAGAAGAGTCATGATCTGAATAAGAAGGAAGTTAGGTTGGGGGTGGTGGTGTTCTGGATGAGGACAACACATTCAAAGCTTTTATTGAGTGCGTGCCAGGCTCCTGCTGAGTTACCAAACATTCTGTCTTTGTGGGAGTAGAGTGAGGGATGACCCTGGTGTGGGCAGAGATCCTTCATGCTGTCCACAAGAAAGAAGAACCCAGTCAGAGGATCCCATGGGTCTCCCAAACACCTCCAGGCAAAGTTCAGATCCCTTGACTTATATCCAGACCCCCCCCCCTTTTTTTTTTTTTCAAGACAGGATTTCTCTGTGTAGCTCTGGCTGTTCTGGAATTCACTCTGTAGACCAGGCTGGCCTCAAACTCACAGAGATCCGCCTCTGCCTCCCAAATGCTGGGATTAAAGGCGTGCGCCACCACAGCCCAGCCATTCAGTCTCTTAAAATCTGTCCACTACCACCCACCTCAGGTTCATGAACTAGGCTTTCTGGAAATCTGTGTTTAGGCTGTACAGGGCCCATTAGAAGGCTGGCCAATGAGCTCTGACCCAGGGGTTCATTGCCAGAGCCAGCGAAACAGCACCTGCCTGGCCCAGCTGCACACCTGAGCAGAGTTTGAGGCAGTGCTGGGTGCGTGTGTCCCCTTCTTGTGAGTTCCTTTCCCTTCCATACTAGGATTCTCCCCCTGGACTACACTGAGCACTCCTCTGTGTTTGAGCTCATTCAAGCCCATGACTAGATAGCACTACGTATTTTCATCACTACCTGGCACATGATAAAACGGAAGCAGTCCTTTCTTCATGTAACCTTCTCTGAAACCTGCAATAGTGGCCTGTTTGCTAATGGTGTCTTCCCTAAAGTGCATTGACCCTGTCTGTGGGATTGGGAGAGAGAATCAGGCAGGTCAGAACTAACATGTCATAGTTTGTGCCCCAAGGATGCTTGTCATCCTGTCTGCTCTCCTCTGTGCTGCCTCAGCCGAGGTGCAAAAGTTAGAGCTTGTGGGACTTCTGTGCCTGGTGTTTTCTAAGTAGAGCAGAGAAGATGAGGATGAGTGGATATTATGATGGAGCAGAGTCAGATGTCACTGCTGGGCCACTCTACTTAGCCCTGAGACCCTGGCTAGAGGTCTTAGGCCAGGGTTACTTACTAGCCTAAGGCAGTTGTGTCGGATAGCGCCCCATCACCAAGAATTGAGCTGGTGGCCAGACATGGTAATACACACCTTTAATCCCAGTACTAGGTGGCAGAGGCAGGTGAATCCAGGCCAGCCAGGGCAACATAGTGAGACTCTGTCAACAACAAAAGAATGACCTGGTGTAAATGACATTGATTTGGTGCTCAAGTAATACCTGGTGTCTGATTTTGGGGGAGGGAGGGATTATGGGAGATTCCTGTTGTCTGTGTGCTGAACTGGGCTGTGAAAGTACTGAGGAACCCTTCAGGACGACTGCCTGATGGGTAATCCCTGCAACAGTACAGGTTCCAGGAGACAGTGAAAGGCATAAGATGACAGTTCACAGACAGGAAGGTGCACAAGAGACAATGTCAATAATAGCTGGTGGTGTTGATGTCAGCTCAGAACAACTGAGGTGGTTCTCTTGTTAGTCCTAAAACATGTTTGTGGGGGCAGTAATTTGTGGGAGTTGGCTCTTTCCACCTTGTGGGTGTTGGAGATTAAACTCAGGTTGCCAGGCTTAGCAGCAGATATCTTTACCCACTGAGCCATGTCACCAGCCTGTGTTAATCCATTTCATAGACTGACATCAAGCCAGTAGTACTATACATCACCAGTGGCAAACATTGTCAGAGATTTAAGCCTGGTGGAATACAGAAATACCTCTGTTTGCAGGTTCTGCATACTTGACCATAAATTGAAAACTATTTAAAAACAGTGTTGTGTCTACATTGAACATGTACACACTTCACTTGCTTCTTTTTGTGGTTGTTTTGGTTTTGGTTTTGGTTTTTCGAGACAGGGTTTCTCTGTGTAGCTTTGCACCTTCCTTGAACTCACTCTGTAACCCAGGCTGGCCTCGAACTCACAGAGATCCTCCTGGCTCTGCCTCCCAAGTGCTGGGATTAAAGGCGTGCGCCACCACTGCCAGGCTCTTTTTGTGATTTTAAGAATGGAATCCAGAGCCTGTGCCTGCTGGGCAAGCACTGTACCATTGAGCTGCACCCCCTGCCCTGAACAGACTTGTTTTTTCTCCTTACCCCCTAAACAATACCGATTTGAGACAGGATCTAGCTACACATACATAGTCCAGACCAATCTTGAACTAATGATTCTCCTGCCTCAGCCTCCCAAATGCTGGGGTTAATAGGGCATATAACTAGATTCTTTGATTTGTGTATTTACTTTTTTTTTTTAATTAAATTTTAATTTATTTATTTGGCAGGGTGTGGAGATCAGAGGACAACTTGGGGAAGTCAGTTCTCTCCTACCATGTGGGTCCTGGGGATCACTATTCTGGAGGCAGGCTTTACCTAGTGAGCCATCTCATTGGCCTTGCACCTAGCTGGCTTCTGGCCTCTCTTATGTAGCATTTTTATTAGATTTGGTACTCGAAGCCGTCTAGAGACAATTTAAGGCGCAGAAGCACTGGGGGTGTCGCCCTGTAGAAGAGCACTGGCCTGCTATGTGAAGGTCCTAGGTTCTATCCCCAGCACCAAACAAAGAACTTCCAGAGGAAGTGTTTACAGTCTGTGTACTACTGTGCCAGTCATATAAAGGACTGGAGCGTCTGTGTTTGAAGAGATGTGAGTTCTCCAGGCAGGTCTTTGTTCTGTTGTTTACTTTGTTTTACCATAGTCTTGCTATGGAACCTTAAACTCTTAGCTCAAGTGGTCCTTCTGCTTTAGCCTTCCAGATAGGTAAGACTAAAGTCTCAGTTTTCTTACTTGATGAATGGGGAAAAACAGTCATCATACCTGACCTGTAGGCGCTCTCAGCCAGGGTCCAGAGCTAGACTGGACTACCTACATGTACCAAGACTTGATCTCAAAACAAGTAAGAGTTGATGCGTTGTCTCGTTTAACATGTGTCCCTTTGCTGGTACCGTGGTCCTGCAAGGTCTCAAGTGCATCCATCTGCAGTGGAACCATCCTCCCTCAGCTCCACTGCTAATATTAGTTATGCCTGTCACCTCAGAGACTTTGCACTTGATCTTTGTTCCCCTGCTAGGTCTTTTGGGTCTGAAGGTGCTCAGAGTGGACTCTGACTGTGACTTAAGATCAGACCTGATGGCAATACCCAGGTCAGGGCTCCATGAAGACAGGCAGAACAGCTGCTGGGCTCTATAAGGATCTGAAGTGGCTACAGGCAGAAGGTAAAGTGCAGGGACTACTTAGAGCAAGGAGGAAGAGGGAGCAGACAGAGATGCCCATTCCTGGAGATGCTAGTGGAGGAAGAAGATGGAGGGGCATGGGCAGGAGGAGAACCAGACCAGATTGACCTTTGGAGACCCTGTGGTAAGGGCCCCCAGATAGCCAGCGACTCCTTTTCTGGATGGTAAAGCTTGGCCCATCCAGGGCTCCTGACTGCCTCAGTATTGTCTGTTTCATGGACAGGATTCAGGAACAAAGTTTGCCCCTGTTCTTTGTGTGATCCAGGCCTCTGTTTTTGCTTCTCTGGCCTGTTCTCCTGAATCAGATGTTAGGGGGGCTCATTTCATCTCAGGAAATATCCTGAGAAATGAGATGATCTTGTCTGAACTGTTATCAGGCACTGTGAAAGGGAACTGCTGTTCATCCTGTTCCTGCCATAGGTTTAATGACAGACTTTCAGGGAGGGAAAATGAATTCTGCGTGTGTGTGTGTGTGTGTGTGTGTGTGTGTGTGTGTGTGTGTGTGTGTGCGCGCGCGTGTGTGCGCGCACGCGCACCCCTACAACTTGGAGGGCAGAGGCAAGCAGATCTTGGTGAGTTCAAAAGACCACAGAAATGGATGCCAGCTGATTGTGGTGATACACATACTAGGGAGGCTAGTGTGGGAATTCAGTTTCTTCCTCTGCTATCTACCTATTCAAGGTAGAGTCCAGCCTGGGCAACTTGAGACCCTGTCTCAAAAATAACAGCAAAAAGCCAAACTATAGGATCCATACAAGTAGACCACTTTTCTCTTTACTATCAGGATGTTTACTTTTCCTTCATACTGTCTGAATATATGTATCCCATTGGTGCTGCTGAGGTTGGAACCAGAGACTTTGCCACTGAACTGCCCCAGCAGAAATTTATTGCTCACACTCTGGAGGCTGGAAGTTCAAGATGAAGGTACTGCAGGCTTAGTCTTCATTGTTTGCTGAGGGCTGGAGAGGGTGGGAGTGGGAGGGGTAGGCAGGCTTCCTTGGTATCTCATGAAGGTAGAACCATCATGAACTAATTACCTCCCAAAGGCCTCCCCCCGCCCCATTTTTTTGAAACAGGACCTCTTTTGGCCTGCATGTATGTCTGCAGCATGTGCATGCAGTGCCTGCAGAATCCAGAAGAGGGCATCAGATCCCCTAGAACTAGAGTTACAGTTATGAGTTGCCATGTGGGTGCTGGGAATTGAACCAGGAATGACAGTGCTCTTAACTGCTGAGCCATCTTGCCAGCCCCAGCTTCAAACTTACCTTTTGACTCCACTTGCCCAGAGAATAGTTGTGTGCCTCTGTGCCTGCCAAAGTCCTGCTTAACTATTGCATTAGAAACAGATTTTGACATACAAATTAGTTTTTTTTTTCTTTTTCTTATGGTGATTTGATTTATTGTTTCGAGATTGGGTCTCTAAAGCTCACGCCGGCACTGTTGCTTACTTCCTTTACCCACTGCTACGCACCATCATAACGAGCTGGTTTGTTTATTTGCTTGTTTGTTTTTGTAGTGCAGGAGTGGGACCCACTGCCATGTCTGTGTGACCTTGGTGGGGCTCAAGTCTATTGTCCAAGGCCCTTTTCCCCGAGAGCCCATGGTCTCTTCCCACGAAACACTCTGTCAGCCCTCTTCCCACAGACAACGAGTCAACAGCAGTATCAAGGTCTGAAACTCAGTGACATCAGTTCCCAAGTTTGATCCTAACTTCTGGCTGTCCTTAGGTCAGCTGTCAGAGGAGGCCAAGATAATGCTTCAGAGCTCCCACTCTTGTTTTAGACATGGAATTAGATTTGAAGCAATAGGGCTGATGATTGAATCTTTTTAAAAATACTGTTGGTGGGTATTTATATTTTATGTATTTGGGTGTTTTCCCTGCATGTATGTGTCCCATGGGCATGTCATGCCCAAGGAGGGCATCTGATTCCCAGGAACTGGGGTTAGAAACAGTTGAGAGATCTGGTTTATATGGCCCAAGCTGATCTTGAACTCCTGTGTTCAGACTGTCCTCTACCTCAGCCTCCTGAGTAGCTGGAACTACATGCAAATACTACCATGCCTGGTCCAGTCCTAGGGTCAAGGGACACAGGTGTGCTGGGTTCTTCATGAAGCAAAGACAAGGCCCAATATGCTAGATTTTCAGATTTGTATTTGCTGGCTCAGCAGATAAAAGCACTTTCTGTACGAGCCTGGCGTCCTGAGTTCAATCCCTGGAGCCCACATAAAGGTGGAAGGAGAACTGACTCCATAAAGTTGTCTTTGACTGCCATGCATGTACTGTGGTGTGTGTGTGTACATAGGCATTAAGGGGTGTGTGTGTGTGTGTGTGTGTGTGTGTGTGTGTGTGTGTGTGTGTGAAGGAGGGCTCAGCAATTAAGAGTTATTTGTTGCTTTTGCAGAGGACTCGGGTTGGACTCCCAGTATCCCCATGGTTTACAACTATCCATAACTCCATTTCCCTCTTCTGACCTCTAGGGCACCAAGCACATAGGCAGTGTACAGATACACTTGCGGGCAAAACACAAAATGAATAAATGTAACTTTAAATTAAAAAAAGCCCAGAGTGATGGCACATGCCTTTAATCCCAGCATTTGGGAATAAGAGGCAAGTGTGTTTCTGAGTTTAAGTCCAGTCTGGTCTACATAGTGAGCTCCAGGCCAGCCAGAGCGACATAGTGAGACCTTGCCTTAGCCTACCCTCTGAGTGCTGGGACAACATGGTGGTTCTACTCCAGCTGAGTCATTTTCTTAAAAACCATTTAAGTAAGCCCAGTAAACTTAACCCCAGCACTTGGGAAGTAGAGGCAGGTGGATTATCTGTGTGTGAATTCAAGGCTAGCCTGGGGCTGTATAATGAGATCTTGTCTCCAAAGAAAGAATTGGAAAGAAAGAAAGACAGAATTGGAGCTGGGTGTGGAGGCTCCCCAGCACAGAGAAGGCTGAAGCTAAAGAATTAGTGCAAGCTCAGAGAAAGCCTGGGCTATATAGCAGAAACCTGACCATACACAAAAGCAGTAAGAGATCTTTTTTAATCTTGCAAATGAACAGTATGCCCACAAAGTACAAAATTTAAGATCAGAAAAATGTACTTTGCACAGCTTTCCAGTTCTGTGCAGAGGGAAACGGTTGTGGTCTCCTTTTCTGTTTGTTTGGGGGTGGGGATTTGGCAGGGTAAAACCCTAGCATCATGTAAGGCAAGTGCTGTATCCCAGCCCTATTTGCTGGTTTTTGTTCAACAGTTTTGTTGAGATAAACCATGCACTCCACCCCTTTAAACTATAATAGTTACTTATTTTTGAGATGGGGATCTATATTGCCCAGGCTAACCTCTGTATTTAGGCTCAGTGGATCCTCCCCTTCGCTGCCCTTCAGAGTTGCTAGAAGTACCAAACCTGGCTGCATAGTGGTCTTTCATGTATTCAGAGTTGGGAAACAGTCCATCATTGATCAATTGTTGTTAACTTTTTTAAAAATTTTTATTTTTATGTTCATTGGTGTTTTGTCTGCATCTCTGTCTGTGTGAGGATGTCAGATCTTGGAGTTACAGACAGTTGTGAGTTGCCATGTGGTTGCTGGGAATTAAACGGTGGTTCTCTGGAAGAGCAGCCAGTGCTCTCAACTGCTGAGCCATCTAGCCCTGATCATTGTTAACTTTAAGTGATAGTTCATTACACCAAGAATAAGTACACATCCCTTTGCTCTAAGCAAATTTATTTCTTCTTTCCCAGCTCCTTGCAACTATGTTTCACGTGTTAATGGATTTGCCTGTTCTGGACATTTCGTATAAATGGAATCATATGTCCTGTGGTCCTTCTGTCGGGCTTTTTCCTATCATATGAAGAACCTTGAGACTTTTTCCAAGTACTTTCCCATATTATATTCTCTCCAGAGTGCGTAAGAGTTCAGAGTTCTTACCTTTGGTACTACCTGCCATATTTTACAGTGGATATGGAGGTGGCTGAACTTAGAGCCTTGTTCACACACCCCAGCCTTTTGCCTGCTTTGTTCCTGCTTTCAAGCCAACAGTATGAGGTGATGCCTGTTTTGCATTATGGTTTGAACGTACACTTCCATGGTGACTAGCAGCATGAACAGTGAGTGCCAACAGTCATATTCTGGGCTGCAGACAGTGGTATTGACATGCCAATGGCCATTCTTACATAGAATGTAAGAATGTTGGTGCAGTATACCTGTGTCTTCTTGTGTGCTCTAAAAGACTGATCTTGGCCATCTGCTCTCAGAGTCTGCAGGTCCCGCATCCTCACATTCAGCCAACCATAGATCCACAAAGAGTTCTTCTGATGGTGAAACTCAGTGGTAGAGCATGTGCCTAGCTATGTAAAACACTGGGTACCATCCCCAGCACTGCCCAGAACATTGTAAAAGTTTTTTTAGATTCATTTAATTTTTGCTTTATTTTATGTGTGTGGATGTTTGCCTACATGCGTTTATGTACACCATATGTGTGCCTGTTGGATCCCCTGGAACTAGGGTTATGGATAGTTGTGAGCCACCATATGGATGCTTGGAATCAAACCCTGGTCCTCTGAAGGAACACAAGTGCTCTTAAGTGCTGAGCCCCTGCCCAGAACATTTTTAAATCCAGGTATTCACACCTATTATCCTGGCATTCTGAAGGCTGAGGCAGGAGGAATGCCCTGAGTTCCAGGCCAGCTCTAACAGGAAACCTGTCTCCAACAGACAAGAATTTTGAATATGGAAAGTATTTGTATAGCACTTATATGGAACCAGGTATTACAAGTCCTCTAGAGATCATTAAAAATGTATGGAGCCACATCAGTAACCCCAGCACTCTAGAGGTGGAGGCAGGAAGACCAAGACTCTAAGGCCAGCCTGAGTAACATGAAGCCCAGGAGCTTAGTGGTGGAGCACTTGCCTAGCACACTGAAGGCCCCGGGTTCAATCCCTAGCAACACAAGAAAGCAAGGGGACTTGAGTGGCTGCGGATTCCAATATCTGTAGTGCCCCTGAACCAGTCCCCTGCAGATAACCACGGGGTGACTGTTTAAAGGCAGGACTGTGTGGGGACAGGAAGTGGAGGTGGCACTGCCATTCTTAGATGTGTCACAGATTTCACCATGTGGACGTTGTGGCTCCCATGTGCTCTCCTGCAGGAGGTGAGGTTGCTGAGGCAAGGCAGGGCCTATGTTGGTTTCTGCCACCTGACCTGTCCAGTGTCTATCTCCTGTCCTCACGCAGCTGCTGCCATGGCGCAGACCCTGCAGATGGAGATTCCAAACTTTGGCAACAGCATCCTTGAGTGCCTCAATGAGCAGCGGCTGCAGGGACTATACTGTGACGTGTCAGTGGTGGTTAAGGGCCACGCCTTCAAGGCCCACCGTGCTGTGCTGGCCGCCAGCAGCTCCTACTTCCGGGACCTATTCAACAGTAGCCGCAGTGCTGTGGTAGAACTGCCAGCCGCTGTGCAGCCACAGTCATTCCAGCAGATCCTCACATTTTGCTATACAGGCCGGCTGAGCATGAACATGGGGGACCAGTTCCTGCTCATCTACACAGCCGGCTTCCTGCAGATTCAGGAGATCATGGAGAAGGGCACCGAGTTCTTCCTCAAAGTTAGCTCTCCAAGTTGCGACTCCCAGGGCCTGCACCCGGAGGAGGCCCCATCTTCAGAGCCTCAGAGTCCTGTAGCGCAGACACTGGGCTGGCCAGCCTGTAGCACGCCACTGCCCCTTGTGTCACGAGTCAAGACAGAACAGGAGTTGGACTCTGTGCAGTGCACACCCATGGCCAAGAGGCTGTGGGATAGCAGCCAGAAGGAGGCTGGAAGCAGTGGTGGCAACAATGGCAGCCGCAAGATGGCCAAGTTCTCCACACCAGACCTAGCCCCTAACCGCATGCCCCAGCCAGTCTCAGTGGCCACAGCTACAGCAGCAGTGGCTGTGGTTGCAGTGGGGGGATGTGTGAGTGGACCCAGCATGTCAGAGCGGACCAGCCCAGGTACCTCCAGTGCCTACACCAGTGACAGCCCTGGCTCCTACCACAATGAGGAGGACGAAGAAGAAGATGCAGGTGAAGAGGGTACAGATGAGCAGTATCGTCAGATCTGCAATATGTACACCATGTACAGTATGTTGAACGTTGGTCAGACAGGTGAGTGCCACCCCTTCCGTGGGCGTGTATGCATGTGTACGTGTGTATGTGTGTGTGTGTAACATGAGTACACTTGCCACTGTTCCCACAGCTGAGAAGGTAGAGGCCCTCCCTGAGCAGGTGGTCCTCGAGTCTCGAAGTCGAATCCGGGTGCGACAAGACCTGGCATCTCTTCCAGCTGAGCTTATCAACCAGATTGGCAACCGCTGCCACCCAAAGCTCTATGATGAAGGTGACCCCTCCGAGAAGCTGGAGCTCGTGACAGGTGTGCTGGCCAGGCTTTAGTCCCCCCAATCCTTTTGCTCTGCAACCTATGGTCTCATGTCATAGTTATTACAAACTAGCGCCCTATCTGTGTGTCCCAGGGCAGCTGACATCCTCAGTTCTCATTTGGTAGCAGCTGTCCTAACAAGAGAGGTGTTAAATTAGATGATTTTGGGCTGGGGGCTCCTTACTTAGCATACATAAAGCCCTAGATTCCCTACCAAGCACTGCATGATCTAGGCGTGGTGGTACACATCTATAATTTCAGCACTGGAGATAGAGGAAGAAGGGTCAAGTTTGTTTTTGTTTTTGTTTTTGGTTTGGTTTTTCGAGACAGAGTTTCTCTGTGTAGCCTTGGCTGTCACTCTAGACCAGGCTGGCCTCGAACTCACAGAGATCCACCTGCCTCTGCCTCCCGAGTGCTGGGACTAAAGGCGTGTGCCAGCACTGCCCAGCTAGATTCCAAGTTTTATTTGAAGCACCACAAAAGGGAGGTGGGTGGAGAGAATGGTACCAAGCTATCTTCAGGGTGAGATGGAACACATCTAGGATCCTAGATTCAGAGTTTGAAGCAAGCCTGGCTACATAGTAAGACCCTGTCTCAACCAAAAAGAAAGGAACAGGAAGAGGGAGGAGAGAGACATTGATTTGCTTCTCATCAAAGACCAGTCTGTAGGTTTCTGAGTCATAGGAGCTAGTGGGGAGGGGTTGTGGCTGGGCCAGAAGATTGGAGCTCACTGCCATAGGGGTCTGGGGGTGCTAGTCTTTCTGGCCTCTGACATCTTGTTTATACCTACCTAGGTGTATTCAGAGTGCCTCTGGCACACTTGGGTGTTCAGACTAGGTGAGTTGAGATTTGGGTCCAGAGCATGTGACTTCTCTTACTAGGCACCAATGTGTACATCACAAGGGCACAGCTCATGAACTGCCACGTCAGTGCAGGCACGAGGCACAAGGTCTTGTTGCGGCGGCTCCTGGCTTCTTTCTTTGACAGGTGAGGTACACCCCAGAGCCCCAGGATTGGGGAACAGGTTCTCCCCTCCCACCTCTACCAGGAACTCTGATGCCCTCCATTCCTCTGCCCCATCTCCAGGAACACGCTGGCCAATAGCTGTGGCACTGGCATCCGCTCTTCCACCAATGACCCTCGACGCAAGCCGCTGGACAGTCGCGTCCTCCATGCTGTCAAGTGTGAGTGTTCTGCTGGGCTCTGGGGTGGGCTGATGCGTCTTTGTTTTGGTTTGGTTTTGGCTTTGGTGTTTTGTTTTGTTTTGTTAGTTTATTTGTTTTTTGTTTGTGGTGTGGGTGTGGGTGGGTGGGTGGTTTTTCGAGACAGGGTTTCTCTGTGTAGCCCTGACTGTCCTGGAACTCACTCTGTAGACCAAGCTGGCCTCGAATTCAGAGATCTGCCTGTCACTGCCTCCCATGTGCTGGGATTCAAGGCTACCACTGCTCAGAGGGCTTTTGTTTTTTCCTTCAATGTTTAATATGACAGATGGGTGGAGTTTGGTTTGGTTGATTTGTTGGTTTTGGTTTTTTTGAGACAGGGTCTTTCTACATAGTCCTTGCTCCCTGGCTGGCCTGGAACTAACTAGATCAGACAGGCCTTGAACTCCCAAGTGCTGGGATTTAAAAGCCTGTGCCAGCATACAGGCTAGGAGTTGAGTTTTGAGATGGCTTGGTGGATAAAGTGCTTGCCTCATAAGCATGAGGACCTGGGTTCAGCTCTCTAGTATTCACAAGCTGCGTGCGTATCTAAAATCCTGGACCTGGGGAAGCAAGACAGGAAGATCCCTAGAGCTCACTGGCTGTCCACTCTAACCAATTTAAAAGGCTTCTGTGTCCAGGCATGGTGGCATGCACACAGGAGACAGAGGAAGGTGACTCTGTGAATTTGAGATCAGCCAGGGCTATGTAGAAAGAGAGACCCTGTCTCAAAAAAGGGGGTGGGGTGTCTGGGGCCAGTGAGGTGGTTCAGTAGCTAAACAACCTGAGTTTGATCCCCTGTATCCTTTCTACAAGTTGTTCTCTGACTGCCATATATCCAAATAATGATAAGTTTTAAAACTTGAAAAGGGTTCTAGCTGGGCGGAGGTGGCACACACCTTTAATCCTAGCGCTCGCAGAGACAGGCAGATCTCTGAGTTTGAGGCCAGCTTGTTCTACAGAGTGAGTTCCAGGATAGCCAGAGCTACACAGAGAAACCCTGTCTCTAAAAAACAAAATTTAAAAAAAAAAAAAGCACTCAAGAGTTCAGGGTCAGCCACAGCTACATTAGAAGAGGGGTGGGGGGGGTGGTTCTGAGGTTCTCTTGTGGCTTATTGGGAAAGAGGCTGAAATTAGGGGTTTCTTCACATTTGGCACATAGTATGGAAGGGACCTGAGTGCCTTTGTCAAGGAGGAGGATCTTTGTCCAGGGTAGTCAAGAGAAGATTGAGGTGGCCAGGCCTGTCAAAGGGCAAGTCTGTGGCAGTGGCAGCCACTTGTCAGGGAATGCCTGGGTTTGCATTGGCAACCTTCCAGGCTCTGAATCCTACAGCACTACATGTCCCTGAGTGGGAGCCCAGGTGGGCAGCAGTTTTGTATGGATAGTGGGATCCACTAGACACAGAAGCTGGGAGACTTAATGAGAGGAGTCTAGACCCAAGCTGCCTGCTCTGCCCCCACAGACTACTGCCAGAACTTCGCCCCCAACTTCAAGGAGAGCGAGATGAATGCCATTGCAGCTGACATGTGCACCAATGCCCGCCGAGTGGTACGTAAAAGCTGGCTGCCCAAGACCAAGCCGCTGCACCTGGTGGAGGGTGATAGCTACAGCAGCTTCATCAGCGACACTGGCAAGATAGAGCCGGACATGATGAGCATGGAACACAGCTTCGAGACAGCCAGCCACGATGGCGAGGCCGGCCCTTCAGCTGAGGTTCTCCAGTAACATACGTGTGACACCCCCCTTACAGGATGTCACACTCCCCTTCCTATCACACCCCCCCCACCTACCACCCGGTCACAATCTACTGTCTGTCCCTCTCCAGGACCTGTGAGGGGTACTCCATGCCCTCTGTCAGGATGCAAGAGCTGGCAGACCAAAGCCAGGCACTGCACCCAGCAGAGGGTAGCACCTACAGCAGCTTTCTCAGAAACCCTGAGGAAAAGCTGAACATGATGGGCATAGAATACAGCTTCAGACAGACAGCCCCTCCTGTCACACACATCCCTACCACCTTAGTCACGAGCTACTGTCTGTCCCTCCCCAGAATCTGCAGGGGGTGCTGCATGCTCCCAGCCTCTCTGCCTCCCTGTCATCCCACACCTTTTCCCCAAAGCAAGCTGGGCTGGGTCAGGAGAGGACAGGCATCAGGTGGGATCTGTGACCTTCCTCAACACTCATGGGGAGCCCTGGTTCCCCTTCCTCTTAGGCATTTCCCAGCACCAGGCCCGGCTAGGGGATGGGCAGAGCTCCAGAAGAGCCTGCCCCTCACTGTGGCTGCTTGGGACTCCATGGGCCCAGGGGTTCTCAGGACCCCTCCCACCACCACCCCCAGTGCTTCCATGTCTCCAAAAGCGCCTTCCTGTCCCTCTCGTCTGTCCCTGCACCTTGGGGCTGGGGTAGGTGAGGCCAAGAGGGACTGTCCACTTTACAGCTGAGGAAATAAGCCCAAAAGGCTTAGAGAAATTCTAAAACTGACCCTCTGTGGCAGCCTCCATCATACCCCTCTTAATCCCTCCCTGCTCTGCCTCTGTGGGCCCCCTCAGCCCACGAGGCTGGTTCTAAGAGAGCAGTGCTCCTGTGGGCAGGCGAGAGTCTCAGGACAGGTTTCCAGTCTGGCAGAATTTGTGGGTGTGCGTGCGTGTGTGCGTGCGTGCCTGTGTAGAGTGTTTGCTTTTAAAAACATGAAGATCAAGAGGCAGCAAGACCGGGGTCGGAACCAGGGAGCAGGCTGGGTGGCTGCTGCCCTTCTCCCATCCGACCCTGGGCAGGGCTCCCAGCCCCCACCCCCTGTACATAACTTTTTGAAACATTTTTTTAGCGAATGAAATATTGAAGTATAAGATTTCCTTTTATTTTTCAAATCAATGGGAATGTGTCTTGAGGTCCCCTGGGTCCCTGGGCTGTGGAAGGCAGGATGCAGGGAAAACTGAATGTGTGTGTGTGTGTGTGGAATGTGGGTGCATGTTTCCACAGGGGCCCAGTCCCAGTGCCCCAGGGCTCCTGTGGATCCAACCAGCTTCCTCTCCCCCAGGACTACGGTTAAAGGGTGTTCACAGGTCCCCAGTTGGCTGAGCCCACTCCTGGGGGATGAGGCAGGGCAGGGTCCACATCCATTGTTGGTGGTTTGTGGAGCTTTCTCTGGCCGTTCCTTTCCACTCTAACTCTCCAGGAGCAAGCTCTTGGGTTTCTGAGTTTAATATGTGAGCACAGGGTTTTTGTTACCCCCTCCATTAATGTCATTTCACCATCTCACTGGTTCTGTTCTAGCCCTGACCTCCCTCCCTCTTCCCAACTCTGCATTCTAGCTGCCTCTTCAGAGGCAGGGGGTTGCAGGATTGGAGAAGGTGGGATGGAGCCTTTTGAGTCAGATCTGGAGACCTGCCTCCAGGCCAGCAGCACCCTCTAATCTGCCAGGGTCCCTCTTAACATCTGATGGTGAGGGTGGGGTGTTGGGTCTGACTTGGCCCCCAGTACCTTAGCCCTGGGTGGCCAAGTGGAGGGGAGTTGACACCCCTAGCTAAAGCACAAGCACCTTAGTCATACCCCCTCCCTCCACCCTTGCCCTGGCCTGTTGTCCCACCTCCCCCAGCGAAGATCCCAAAGCACAATCTCCTGGTAACTTGGCAAGCAGCTGAGCCTGGCCATGGTGAGGGCAGGCTGTGCTCCCTGCCCAGAATTAGTAAGGGGGCAGCTCCATGGGACTGAGAGGTCTTGTAGTAGAGTGGGCAGCAGAGCCCATTGGTTCCAAGCACCTCAGGAGGTGGCCCTGACTCCCGGGGCTTGGGGTGGGGGAGGTATAAAGCCAGGGGTGCAGGGGAGAAAACTACTCACTAGGAGAGCCAAAGACAGGGTTGTGCCTTACCTCAGGAGCCACCCCTGCGCCCCTCCTCTGGCGGTCAGCTGCTTGCCCTGCCCTCCTGAGAGCTGCATGCTCCCCACCCCAAGTACCCAGGAGAGTGACAAAGTAACCCACCTAGCAGGAAAGACAACTAGGGGCAAACCCAGTGGCCACCCTCCCACCCAACCATGCCTCTCATGGGGACAGGCCATCACCCACTGGCCCATGTGAAGTGCCAATGCCCTCCCCACCCAGAGCCAAGCCCCCACCCCTCCCAGGCCCACAAGTGAGATTGCACATTAACTACTGTACGGAGAGGAGCGGTGTTGGGAAATGTGAACCCTGAGAGTCAGTGATGCTGATAAGAATAAAGAAGACGCCTTTGTAACAGCCCTGCTGTGCTGTGCTCACTGGAGAGGGATGTGCTGGCCACCCACCAGGAGCACAAGTGCACCTGGAAAACAGCCAGGGGCTCTGTGGCAGAGGAGCATGCAGAAGGCACTGAGTCCCAGGATCCCAAGAGGCCAGAAGAACAAAGAAGCATGGGGAAACCATAGTGGCTCACACCCAGAGGGGTTGAAAGCAAGACATGGCAAGTCTGAGAGTAGCCTGGGCTACTTAAAAGTCTTCTAAAGAGGACGTTGGGGGTTTGGTGCTCAGGTCTCATCAAGTCACTGGCCTTCTCTGTGCCATCAGACTAGCCCAAGCCTACCCCCCTCTGTGAGGAGTTTGTCTGTAGGGGTACATTCTTGTGAAGATAATGAAAATTACCAGGAGCACCTGGGATTAGAAGGTTGGTTTGGTTTGTGATTTATGAAACAGCTCCCTAACAGCTTAGGTTGGCCTATGACTTATGACCCTTTGGCCCCTGCCTTCCAATCCTATGTTTCGCTGAGACCAGGAGCTTATATTGTGGTATAGGAAAAGAAAGCCCATACTCAGCCCTTGGGAAATAGTTTGAGGCAAGTGGGATGGCTCATCAGAAAAAGGCACTTGCTACACAAGCCTAGTGACCTGTCTTGGATCCCCAGAGCCATGTAAAGGTAGGAAAGAACTCACTTCACAAAGTTATGTGACCTCATGTCGCATGGAACATGTGCCTACACACTAACAATAGACTTTTTTTAAAAAAGAGACCAAAATCTTTTCTGTATCAAATATTGGCACTTGAATTCCCAACATACACAGATACCGGAGAGTGAGCAGGAAGCTTAGAAAAGCCTTCTAAAAGAGAACATCCAAAGCTTGAATCAACGCTGTACGGTACATTTTATTTATTTATTTATATATTTTTAAATTTAATACTGGATTTTATTTCTATTGGAACGATTAGAAGGCAAGGAGGAGGGTAGATTTGGGGCAGTTTGTGCAAGGTCTTCCCAAATCATCACCCTATAAATGCAGTGTCAGAAGCTCAGGGTCCAACCTAGGGCCTAAAGATCCTACTAGTTCTGGAAGAGATCCTTGGGTTGGCCCTCCAGGTTCACTCCCTCTTTCCAGTAGACAGGGACATCCCAAGTCAGAGAAAGGGGAGTAGAATCAGGACCGGAAAAACCACACAAGCACCACAATGGCACACCATTGTTGTCTGAAGACAAAAGGGTCAGAAGTCAAGAAGACAAGGCACCACCAGCTACTCCCTCCTACTCACATCCCAGGCTTTAAACCCTACCAAAGAGAACTCATCACTCATCGTGTGGGACACTAGCCATCTTTCTGAGGACCCATCCATCTGAGACTCTGTGGTCTAGTTCATGAGTAAAGGCATCCAGTATGCCACCAATGCCATGGTGGAATCCAAGCCGCTATGCACCAGGAAAGCCAGAGGCATGCCCCCCAAGCCCTGGCCTTACATGCCCTCCTCCCCAACATGACCCAACATGTGTTTCAGAACCTGGATGCTCCCAAACACCATTTCCAGCTGTTGATCCTAGTGGTCCAGGGTCAGCTGCTGAGTGGAGAGCAGCAGCTAGAAAACCTGAGGGTTCCACAACCTCACCCTGCCACACCTCCCCAGCCCCCACAAACCTGCTGGGTAGCTTGCTGCTCTAGATATCAAGAGGACTCTGAGACTTCTGGGCAGCTGGCAGAGTCAGAGCAGGGTACTGACCCAAAGCAGACCACCCAGGGTAGGTTTGTAGCAGATTGTAGACAAATTGGATGGGCTGTCTCCCCAGACCTGCCACTTACTAACCAAGGGGGGGCCCTAAGGTCATGCCACGCCTTAGTTTCCTCACTGCTGGTTTGTCCTGAGACAGGGTCTCACTATGTGGCTCTGGCTGGCCTGGAACTCAGAGATCTCTGCCTCTGCTTCCCAAAAGCAAGTGCCACCTAGCTTATGAGAGCTATAGTCCTTATTGCCCAAAATTGAAATAAGGATTATTAAATTAATGTATAAACAATAGCTAAACCCTGGCAGTGGTGGCACAGGCTTCTGATCACTGCACAAGGCAGGGGCTGGTGGATCTCAGAACTACAGAGAAACCCTGTCTTGGAGAAAAAAAGAATGCCCAGAATAGGACTCAACAACAGGAAATGCTGATACACCTTGGCTACTCTTTGTCTTTGTGACATTTATTTACTGTGTGTATGTATATATACACTCATGCCAAGCACTTTACTCAGGGCACTGTGGCACCTGCCCTTCTTGTGAATTGTTTTCACTGTAGTCTAGGCAGGCCTTCAACTTAAATCTTTCTGCTTTACCTTAGTCTCCAAGTACCTGGGATTACAGGTGTCTGCCACCTAGCCTACTTTTTGTTTTTAATTCTGTGTGTGTCCCTGTGTACACAGCCACATTTTATTTAGGTTTTGAGTTTTTTAAGGCAGTATCTCATGTGTCCCCAAACTCTTAAGTAGCTGAAGATGACCTTGAGCTTTTGATCCTCCTGCCTCTTCCCTGTGAGTGGTAGGATTGCAAGTGTGGGCCACCACACCCTATTTATGAAGTGCTAGGGGTATAGCCTATAGCTTAAAACACACTAAGTAAGCACTCTACCAACTGAACCAGGCATGGTACTAAACAGCATTTGGGAGCCTGAGGCCAAGAGGATTGCTGTGAGTTCAAGGCCAGTCGGGGTTACAGAGTGATTCACAGCCTGGATCAAGACTTAATTCCTGGAGCCTTGGACCCAGATTTGCTGCAGGAGGTCTTTCTGGACTTTCCTGGCCCCTCTGATAGGAAGCTGGAACTCCCCTCCACCCCACCCCCCTACCCCCCACCCCCCCACCCTGTCCCAATACTCCAAGGCCCCTTTGCTTCTCAGGTTAGGAGGTCGGATGGCTAATCAGTCTTTAGGCTAGGTTGTTGCCATCTCTACAGACATTACTGAGTTGTTCTGTTCATTTAGTCAGAAGGGCTGCGGGAGGGTGTTTCATGGAACAACTTCACAGGACAGTGAGTTGGGGGCGGAGGGCAAGATGTGGAAGGTTTTTTGGGTTTATTTTTCTCCTTTCTGCCTTTAAGACAGGGTTTCTCTGAGTATCCCTGGCTGTCCTGGAACTCTCTATAGACCAGACTGGCCTTGAACTCAAGAGATCTGCCTGCCTCTGTCTCTTGAGTACTGTGATTAAAGGTATGTTCCACCACCACCCAGCTTGTTTTGTTTTTTTGAGACAGGGTTTCTCTTTGTAGCCCTATCTGTCTTCAAACCTGATCTGTAGCCCAGGCTGGCCCTGAACTCAGAGGAAGGCCTGTGCCACCAGGCCTGGCTCTTTTGCCCCAACCCCCAGACATGTTTAAAAGGACTAAGGAGAAATATGTAGCACGGTGCTGGTAGACGCATGCACACAGTGAAAAGAGGGCTTTCTGGTTGGATGTCTTTAATCCCAGTGGTCAGGAATGTCCAAGCAAGCAGATCTCTTGAGTTTGAGGCCAGCCAGGACTACAGAGTTTGACCTACAGAGTAAAACAATTAGAAGAAAAAAAAAGTAAATAAAAAAAAAAGTGAAAACCTGGGGGCTGGAAAAATGGCTCATTGATTAAGAGAACTGCTTTTACAGAGGACCTGAGTTCTGTTCCCAGCTCCCATGTCAGGCAGTTTACAAGCTCAGATAACTCCAACTCCAGGGGATCAGATGCCTTATGGCCTCCATGGAAACCCACATGTATGTATACATACACAAGAGACACACACATATACACATAAGTTAATGTTTTAAAAAAACAATTTCCAGCCTGGGCTACCAAGTGAGTCCCAGGAAAGGCACAAAGCTACACAGAGAAACCCTGTCTCGAAAAACCAAAAAACCAAAAAACAAAACAAAAAAAAAAAAAAAAAAAACAATTTCAAAAAACAAAAGATTAGGTCTAAGGCTGTGAAGCTGGCTCTGAGACATTTGATGCCAAGCCTGAAGACTGAGGTGAAAAGAGAAAATCAACTCTGTCTTCCACACATGCATACTCACAATAAATATATAAATAAGTAAATGTAAAAAATTGAGATCTCTTATCTAGGCCTAGAACTGCTGAGTTTCCTACATCAGCCTCCTGAGCGCCTGGATTATAGGCATGAGCCACCTTTCCAAGATTACAATGAATTTACTTTGTTTGAGATGGGGTTTCTCTATGTAGCCCTGGCTGGCCTGGAACTTGATATGTAGAACACAATAGCCTTGAACTCACTGCAATCCTCCTGCCTCAGCCTCCTAGATACTGGAATTCGAGGCATAAACCACCATACCCAGCTCACCATATACTCTCCTTATCTCTAGACAACTCTCGTGTGTTTGAAGAGCACTGAAGACATCGGGTTGTGCCTGCTAAGTACAGACACATCATTTACTTCCCAACATTTTTATTACTGAGAGCTTGGGTGTAGACATAAAGAGGCCGGTAGATAGCTGGGCGGTGATGGTGCACGCCTTTGATCGAGAGGCAGGGCCAGGCGGATCTCTGTGAGATCCAGGACAGGCACCAAAACAACACAGAGAAACCCTGTCTTGAAAAAACAAACAAAAAAGGCAGATAATGAAAGAACGCACAGGCTGGACATTGATGCAGAAGGGCAGGTTCCCACATACAGAGGACAGAACACATGGTCAGGCTGACAGAAAGTAACACCTGGTGGTACTGAAACTAGATGAATCCATTACCTCTTTATGATTCCTCTCTATGAAGGCCAGGGCTGTTGGGCTAAGTGGTCCTTCATTTCCTGAGGATGAAGATAGCATTAGTCTAGACACCCTAACACAAGCTAAAAGTGGTGTTGCACGATTTAATACCAGCACTCATGAAGCAGAGGCAGATGGATCTCTTGTTGCCAAGTTACAGTGAAACCCTGTCTTGAACAAACAACACACACACTAATCTCCCAACACAACCCACTAGAACTTCACCTAACCTGTACTGCTTCCTGATCTGCTCTGTGAACGAACACCTTCTTTCCTGCAGGTCAAGGGTCAAGGCTAGAGACATAAACTCCCTCAGGCATACTCCCATACCTCAAGGCTTTAACGCTTCCTAGCTGTTCAGCTTCCTTAAAGGGCTGGCTCCCACCGCCCCTTACTGTGGCCAGACTCCGCCATACGCTGTCTCTAAAGTCCCAGCACATCGACCATTTCTTCCAGGTTCCCGAGGTCCCACTCAATGCTTTGCAGGCCGTTTCGGCGCTCATTGGCGGTCCAGTCGAGCTCTTCCCGCCCAGCTACAGCGCTTCCCCGCAGGAGCTCACCCCAGCGCCGGTACAGCCACGGGCCGTATTCACCGCTTTCTGCACCTCGCTGCGGTACAGTGAGCACGACAAACCAACCGAGGCCTAGACACCCCAACCGCCCTCCAAATTTTCTTCCACTCCATCACAGGTAGACACGTGCACCGGGACGGCTATACCCGCCACGGCATTGGCTAGCCAGGAGACTGCTCCTTTCCACCCCTTTCCAGCCACTGTTACTCACCCTCGGACTACAAAGAGAGGGTCCTGGAAAAAACATATCAAGCCCCTCCCCCCACTGGGCGAGTGCAGGAACTCCTTCACTGCTAGTGAGCGAAACACGCTCGATGCCACCCCGGCCTGGGAGGCCACCATCGAGAGCCCAGCCGCCAAGAGAGAAAGAGCGGCCCTAGAGGGCCAAAACGTGTGGACTTCCGCCTGCACCTCGGCCATCTTGGTTGTGGGCGTGCAGTGCACAAGCCTCACCCTACACGGCCAATGTCCTACAGAATTGGGTCGAACCTCAGACTGCTGCTGTGAAACCTCAGTTTCCTTTTTAGCCAATATCAATAATCCTAGTTTTCCATAAATCTTAGGGGATCACAGCGGGGTAAGGAGCTCATTCTATCGATGCATTAAATTTAGCTCAGCAGTTAAGAACACTTACTGTAGCCGGGCGTGGTGGTGCACGACTTTAATCCCAGCACTTGGGAGGCAGAGGCAGGTGGATCTCTGTGAGTTGGAGGCCAGCCTAGTCTATGTATTGAGTTCCAGGACAGCTAGAGCCACATAGTGACCCTGTCTCAAACTTCCCTGGCAAAAAGGGAAAGAACGAGCACAAGTTCGGTTCCCAGCACCTACATGATGGCTCCAGTGTCCAGAGATCTGACGCCCTCTTTTGGCCTCCGCTGCCACTACAAACTCGTGGTGCACAGGCATGCAAGCATATATTAAAAACAAACACAAAAAACGCTCGTGAGACAGAAGCAGTCGGATCTCTATGAGTAAGTACAAGTAAGACCCTAGTTCAAAATACCAAAAATTAATAAAAGGCCATTGAGATGGTTCCGCGGGTAAAGACACGTGTCACCAACCCGGGAGGTGGGAACAGACCGAGACATTTGCCTTCTACACCTGCGAGTGCAGGAGGGTTTCGAAGCCGTTTTTCCGTAAGCCCCATAAGTTCACTCCACCCGGACTCATTCCTCATGACGGTGCCGCAGCATGGACATAGCAGAAGAGAAGGAAACCATAACCACTAGTCCAGTGGAGGGACGCCGGGACTCAGAGCAGACCGGCCAGACCACGGCTGTGCCAACCACACGGGAACTACCCGGGACAGCGCTAGGGCTGGAAGCACCAGAAATGAGGGGGTGTGGTCTACGATGGAGGCTCCGCCCCGGAAGCCCATAGCTCTGGCTAAGACATGGGGTCCTTGTCCTTATATGGGCTTCCGGAAGTGGCTCGCGGCGCCACGCTACGTCATCACATCCAAATTTAGACAGGGAAGTCGGCCCGCTGCAGTGGCGGGAAGCCCACGCGCTGGTGTGTGGGGGTGTTCCTTAAAGGGCCAGCACAGTAAGTGAAAGACAGTATGAGAACTTTATCCTTTTGCAACTAGAGTCAGGTTTTTTGTTTGTTTTTGTTTTCTTTGCGAATAGAGCAGGGTGGAACCGACATCTTTCTTTACTTGTGTATCTCTTTATGTGTGTGGGGTGTGTGTGTGTGTGTGTGTGTGTGTTTTCGCGCGAATGGCGCGCGTGGGAATCGAACTCAGGTCGTCAGGCTTGGCAGCCGGTGGCTCTACCCATTGAGCCCTCTCATTGGCCCGGATATCTTTCTTGGGATAACTCAGCTTCCCGGGGTGCGAAGGCAGAACACTGTGCTGTCGGCGGGAGAGGGCGGCAGGCCCTATGTTCATTGGGACTTCTATGGTACTGGGTTCAGCAAACGGGAAGATGTTTAATGCTGAGCGTGAGGACAGCAGTCGCGACGTGGATATAGGCGGCTACGGCGTAGCTCCCTCCAGGGTCAGCCAGCGTCGTCCGCTCCCACTTCCCAGCCGTGTTCGAGAGGATAGAGATGGAAGGGCTGGAGGCTTCGTGCCTCTTTCGCAGTAGTAGTTTGTTTAGTAAATATTGATCAGGTGATCGCCTCAGGTTTCTCACCTGGAAAAAATAGACCTAACGGTACTTTCTGCGGAGTGGCGGTGAGGAATCAGAGACATTGCATAAAGAGAAAGCTCAACAGCCCCGGCGTGTAGTAACTGCTTAATAAGTAGCAGCGTTTTTACTGGTCAGAGAAATTAATTAGCTGGCTGGCAGGCACGGTGAACAGTGCCCTCTCGGGGAATGTACCCCGTCCCGGGTCTTCCTCACTGCAGAGGGAAGATTACCACCCCACCACCCGTTGTCTAGTGGGTGGGCCTCATCGGCTAGCCCGCCAGTGAGTCTGAGAACCCAGACCAAGCTGAGGCCTCCAGGCGCAATGGGGGAAACTCTTCCTTGCCGGGGCTTAAGTCCCTTCTCCTTCGAGGCGTAAATTTATCTCTATTGCTTTAAGGAGTCTCCGGCCACAGTGGAAAGCCCGGATGAGGCCTTCTGATTGGGCGTGGCGTCTCCGTGACGTCATTCTGACTATATTAGGAGGGCTCCGGCACGCTTCCCCCGCCGGAACTTCTAGCTGTGTACCTGCCGGTGTGAGTTAGTTGTCTGGGCAGCACCGCCTGCTGTAATCCATTCCCGGCTCTCCGCTACGCTCTCGTCGAGCAAGCATGGACGTGCAGAAAGAAGCGCAGCGCATCATGACCCTGTCGGTGTGGAAGATGTACCACTCTCGCATGCAGCGAGGTGGCTTGCGTCTCCACCGGAGTCTACAGCTCTCCCTCGTCATGCGCAGCGCTCGGGAGCTCTACCTCTCAGCCAAGGTAGAGCCCCACCAGCCCGAGCTCCCGCCATCCGGCCGGACTCTTGACCCTCGCCTGCACCCACCGCGGGAAGCCGAAGCTGCAGTTAGAGCGGCGACCCCCGACGCGGAGCAGTCCCCGGAGCCCATGGACACGCAGGAGGAAGCGCGGCGAGTCCAGGAGACCCCTGCGCTCTGTGGCCCGCCCCCCGCCAGAGTCAGCCGCAAGCGCCGGAGCAGCAGCAACCTGAGCGACGGCGGCGAGGTGGGACTAGTACCCAGCAAGAAGGCCCGTCTAGAAGAGGCGGAGAGGGAGGACACGTCGGAGGTCGCCGATCGCCTGCAGCTTCCACCCGCACAAACCGAAGGTGCCTTCCCTAATCTCGCCCGCGTCCTCCAAAGGCGCTTCTCCAGTCTCCTGAACTGTGGGCCCGCCGTGCCCCCGCCGACGCCTCCCGCCTGCGAGGCCAAGCCAGCCTGCCGCCCGGCCGACAACATGCTCAGCGTGCTGGTGCGAGCCGTGGTGGCCTTCTGAGGATTCTGAGCGGCGTCTCCGGAGCCGAAAACGCACAGCCGAGGCCAGGGCCGGCTGGGGAAAGCCTGCGGGGCCCGTGATGAAGAGCCGCGGCCTGAGCTGCCAGGGGCCCGGGGAAGGACTGAGGAGCTGGGGGCGCGGGCGCCTTTTCCCAGACGTGCGTCCACAGGTGCTGTTAAAGGACTGTCCCCTCCCTGGCTGGGAGAAGGGACACCTGGATCTTGAATCTCAGGGTCGGACTCTCCTGGCCTGGCTGCCCTTTCAAGGCCGTTTCACTAGCACACGCGTTTTGGCCCCTACAAGGGGCACGCTTGTGCAAGCGGTCATAGTTGCGTCATGGGGCAGACGCGGGTGCTTCCTGTTGCCTTGCGTGGGTGTGGGGCCTGGGAGGAGGCCAGGGTGTGGACCCGCCCTAGGGACTGGGAAGTGACTTGAGTCACCTCGCCCCCACAGGCTGCTATGGTTGAGCCGGCCTTCGGCGGCTCACAGCCTGGACTGGACCGATCAAATCTTTCCGTAAGCAGTGGAGGTCTGGAGACCCTCGGAACTGTCGGCCTAGACCGATCGCCTGGCGTGGACCACCGCGGGAAGGCTGCTCGCAGTTGCTGTCGCAGACCCGGCCTCTTCGGGCAGGAAAGGAATTTTTTGCCATCACGTTTATGAAGTCTGTTTAGCTTTCCCTTGATGGGTTGTATTTAACACCCGTCTACTTGGCGTTTTACAGTGTCAGCTAGGAAAATAAAGACCGTCAGAGTAAAGAGCGCTGCTGTCTTGGCTTGCTTCCCTGGAGGGGGAGGGGCGAGGTGAAAGGGTCAAGACTGTCGGCCGCTCCCTAAGCCTCTGGAACTGGTTTGACTGGGTGCCGGGAGGGAGGGAGGGAGGGAGGCCGGGTCCCCATTTCTTTGCCTTAAATTTACAGGCTGTTGCTTAAACTATAACCCTGTGATTTGGGGGTTCCCTAGAAATTAACATACGCCCTGGGGGGCCAGCGAGTGTGGAAAGTTTACATTTCGGGGTGCAGTGTTCCGAGAGGAGCTGGGGGATTTTAAAGGATGGCGTTTTTCTCGTGCCCTCCCCTCGAGTAGAACTGTTGTGTGGGGCCCCCACGCGTAGAGTGGCGGTGAACTTTGAACACGTCCTCATGTGATTTCTCTAGTGCAGCTTTGTGAGTGCTAACTTAGAAGTTAACTATGAAACGGGCCTAGGCCGGGCATTGTGGCACATGAGAAGCCAAGACAGACGGATCTCTTAAGTTCGAAGCCAGCCTGGTCTACAAAGCGAGTTCCAGGACAGCCAAAAGCTGTTACAGGGAAACCCTGTCTCGTATTTAAAAAAAAAAAAGAAAGAAAGAAAGAAAGAAAAGAAATGGGCCTATAAACCGCTTCCCCAGCACGTTTAGGCTTTAACAATACTCACGTTTAATCCAACCGGAAGTTATTGTGTACACCAGTCCAAGAAACACAGTAAGTTCCTAAGATTTTGTGTTTGTTTTAAAGCCAGACAGGGTGATGCACTCCTTTAATCCAAGCAAAAGGAAGGCAGAGGCAGACGGATCTCTGATTTAAAGCCAGCCTAGTTTCCGTAGTTAGTCCCAAGTCCACACAAGCTGTAGTCGGCCTTGATCCATCCATCCAGCTGCGGGTTACCCAACCAACGTAGTAAACGAATTCCTCTCGCTTTGGTTTCCGACATGCCTTAGGCATAGCCTAGGGGGTAGGGGCCCGACTCTAAGGACAAAGGGACCGCAGGTGCGGGAGGCTGGCCCCACAGCGGGCCCCACCCCCTCGGGCCCCTCTTGACCCCAGGGCGGGAGGAGGGGGATTACTGTGGGGTGACGAGCTGACTGCGGAGCTCCCCGGAGCATCCCAGCCCCTTCGCTTCACCTCCGTACTGGGAAGCAAAGGTAAAAGCGTTACCTGGAGACCCAGACGAGCCCCTCTCCCAGAACTGAGTCCTACTAAAAACCTGAAGGACCCCTAGCCCTGCCCACTGAGCCTGGACCCTTGAGTCCTCG